AGTGTTCAACAGGGTATTGTTAAACAGAATGAAGGACTTCGTAGACGCCCAACTTCGAGATCAACAGGCCGGATTTCGTAAGGATCGATCGTGTACCAACCAAATTGCTACATTACGGATCATTGTGGAACAATCAGCTGAATGGAACTCACCACTCTTCTACATCAACTTCATTGACTACGAGAAAGCTTTCGATAGCGTGGATAGGAAAACACTGTGGAGGCTTCTTCGACACTATGGTGTGCCTGAGAAAATAGTTAACATCATAAGGAATTCGTTTGATGGATTCAACTGCAAAATCGTACACCATGGACAGCTAACAGTCTCATTTGAGGTGAAGACCGGTGTGAGGCAAGGTTGCTTACTCTCACCCTTTCTCTTTCTCCTGGTCATCGACTGGATTATGAAGACATCGACATCTGGAGGGAAGCACGGTATCAACTGGACAGTTAGGACGCAGCTGGACAATCTGGACTTCGCAGATGACCTAGCTCTTCTATCGCACACTCAACAACAAATGCAAGAGAAGATGACCAGTGTAGCAGTAGCCTCTGCAGCAGCAGGTCTCAACATACATAAAGGAAAAAGCGAAATTCTCCGATGCAACACAACATGCACCGACCAAATCACTCTTGATGGAGATGCCTTGAAGGACGTTAACACCTTCACATATCTTGGCAGCATCATCGACGAGAAAGGTGGATCCGATGTAGATGTGAGGGCGCGGATTGGCAAAGCAAGGGCTGCATTTCTACAGTTGAAAAATATCTGGAACTCCAAACAACTTTCAACCAAAACCAAAATCAGCATTTTCAATACAAATGTGAAGACAGTTCTACTGTATGGAGCGGAAACTTGGAGAACTACCAAAGCCATCATCCATGAGATACAAGTGTTTATTAGCAGTTGTCTACGCGAAATACTTTGGATTCGTTGGCCAGACACGATCAGCAACAACGAACTGTGGGAGAGAACAAACCAGATTGCAGTGGAGGAGGAAATCAGGAAGAAGCGGTGGAGTTGGTGGATAGGACACACACTACGAAAAGTACCTAACTGCGTCACGAGACAAGCCCTCACTTAGAACCCTCAAGGCAAAAGGAAGAGAGGAAGGCCAAGGAACACATTATACGCCGAGAAAATAGAGAAAGATATGAGAGGAATGAACAAGCATTGGACAGAATTGGAAAGAGAAGCCTAGGACAGAGTTAGTTGGAGAAAACTGTTGGTGGGCGGCCTATGCTCCATTGGGGGTAACAGGCGTGAGTAAGTAGGTAAGTAAGATATTTCGTCAGACACAGGGCCATCATCACTGATGAGACTTCCTGCTAATTGAAGCGGTCCACATGATCAAATACTTCACTCCCTATCACTAGTTCACGTCCCGATGAGAGTCAATTATGAAGCAACATTTTGCATTTTGAGGAGGTAGTGCCGCATTCCGAACATGTTTCCATTGTTTTTCAGGGTGATCAGAAGACTGTGCATTCTTTCAGCGTCTTCACCTAGTAGAACTATGTCATCAGCATGTTCTAAGTTTACAAACGTATTGTTGGCAAAATTCAACTTCCGAAAAATCAGCTGATAAAAGTGTTGTACCTAAATGCACATCAATGATGGTGAAAGTGGACCGTCAAATCGAAAATCTGAACATGTGTATATCTACACCACATCTATCATACTACTTATTAATATTCAGTAGCTTATGTCTTTTATCATAATTTTATGAGCGTATGGCTTAAAATGTTCGTCATTTATAACAATAATAATTACAGAATCCTTGTCAGTTTGCAGACATGAACATCACGATATAGATATTAATCCTAAATGTAGAAGACAGGTAAGTAGTATTATATTGTTTGAAGTGTTGTCAAATTCAAAAATTGTTTAGCGACGTAGAATTTCGTACGTAAGTACATCAGTTCAAGTTGCCATACCACATTAGCACACAGAGATGTGATTGTCAATTCAAATGACACAGTGATAGAGGTATTAAAAGTATTAGCAGTAATCAGGGAGATTAGGGTTCGAAGATAGTATTTAAGAAATAGAATCTAGTGAGGTAAATTTAGAAATAGAAAGATAGAGGTGATGATTAATTCAGAAGGTTAGAATTTCATAGAATACAAAGATCAAGTGCATATGCTCCATTGCTAACGATTTTGAGCCATGTCATTCAAGGTCTCAAACCATCGATTATTATCATCTCGCAGACCCTAACCAAATAGTCTACACTTACCAACACTTGTCTTTTGGTTAGCAAATGGATATCTCTTTTACGCCGTGATTGACGCAACTTTAATTAATTAATCATCTGAACATATAAGTGTTTGTACAAAGAGGTACGAAAATACTGATGCGCGTCAAAAATTATAGAAATACTACTACACAAACTAGAGCAAGTGGTAGTTAGTTGCCTTAGGGAGTTCATTCCTCAAGTTGTTTTTTGCTCCGTAGATCTAAGCCTCAAAACAGTTAAACAGCGTTATGACATAGAGTCATTTTTCTGTGTGTGTTGTAACGAATTTGAAATCTTACTCTTACAACTTCTAGTTTCCATTTGTGTATTTCTGGCTGCTGTCTATTGATTTCTCTATTAAATGCAAATGCATTCATTCATTCTATTTGCTTACTGAGTTGTTGACTCACCCTTTTTCTCTTGTTCTTTCCTCCTTACACATAATCTTAGACGGTGGTCTACACATATCCCCTATCACATAAGGTACTTCCTGGTTAACCAAAGGCTGAAATCATGTTAGGCGTGTTAACTTCAATTTCTAACACTACTCTCATCTCAACATCAACATACACAAGGTAAGATCCATTTTTTACGGGTTTGTTTGTGAAAATCCCTTATGTATATATTTGTAATTTGTTCTGATTGAGATTTCTTCAGTTGTACATTTTGTGCAGTTTGTTCGATTTCATTTTGAATAGGAAACACTCTGTTATAAAGCAACCAAATATTAGCTTTTGAACGAATCTGATCTATCCAGGAGGGATAGAATAACATTTATTTGTTGATGTTGATTTGATTAACTGAACAATTGTTGAAGGAATAACCAAGTAGTAATGTAGTGAAGGAGAACACAGGTGAGGGCAACCGGATTGTATTTAACGAAAATTACAGAGTTACTCAGTAAAATTGGAAAACCATATCGTACATCGTTAATTTGCAAATTATCAATCCATCATATCGAACTGGACTGTTCCTGTTGCAAAACATCAATCCATTGTCACTATTCATGCGTTTCATACAAATTCCATTGTGTTCCCACTCTTCCTTTCTTGATCTTTTCCCATCTTCTGCTGCCAGACATTACGTTGACACTCGCTTCATATACTACTTATAAGTAGCGCGCACCACAGTAATATTTCCTTAGGTGATGATGAATATTAGAATCGTCATTTACCTAAATCACTTACTTTGGTTTTCAAACTGGGCAAGACGCTTACCAAATCCACCTAGACAATTATTCTTCAATCCAAACCTCAATTTGGATCCTACTACATACAACGATTGGAATTAATTAAAATAAAAATTATTATCTAGTTAAATATTCAATAAAATGTAAACTGAGTTATGACTGTTGTCAGTCAGTCAGATGCAACGTAGAACTTTGTACGTAAGTACGTACATCAGTTCATGTTGCCATACCTTATTAGCACAGAGATATAATTGTCAATTCAAATCCAATAGTAGAAGAGGTAGTAAATGTATTAGAAGTAATCGGAGAGGTTAGGATTAGAAGATATTATTCAAGAAGTATGATTCAGTGAGAAAAGTTTAGAAAGACAAAGGCGTAGAGGTGTTGAAGAATCCAGAAGATTAGGATTTGACAGAACACAGAGAATAAATGCACCGTCGCCATTGCTAACAATTTTGAGCTGTCATTCAAGGTCTCTAACCATCGATTATTATCATCTCGCGGACCCCAACCAGGTAGTCGACAACTACCAACATGACTCAGTCCACTTGTCAATGACTTCATGGATTTGTGCCATGTTTTAGTCTGACCGCCCCTAACTTTCTTCCAACCTATTCCCACACAACACAAAACAAAGCTCGTCGAGGCAGTCGGTGGTTAGGCATAAGCAGCAGCACATGTCCCAACTCTTGTAGTGTTTTAAACTATTATCAACATTAAATAATTAGTCCATACTCAGTGTTGTTATATAATCTTGTTGATAAAAATCAAGCAGAGAATAATGATCATGATGTAAAAGTATAACAATTTCATATTTGAACCTATCATTTGTTTATATGCGTTACTAATGACAACTGACCTATTGTTATCATCGTTTGATTGTATATATATATATCTCACCTATATATATATATATATATATATATATATATATATATATATATATATATATCGCCTATATATATATAGATGGATAGATGTTATTTTTAATTAGTAGAAGAAGAGAACAAGAGAAATGATGAGTGTAGAGAAATTTTATTTCCTCTCCCCCCCAAAAAAAACAACCTTGAACAAAAAATTTGTTAAGTTTGCACAACACATTTCAATATCAATGTTTTTTTCAAGAAAAAAAAAAGTTAATTTTAATATGGGGTTATTATTTTTTTACTTTTTTTGATAGTAGAGTACAAATAAAAAATACATTGAACATTGAAGTGTAAAATTTAAACGCCCTTAATTAGTCAGTCAAACAATTTATTCAATAATATTCAAAGTATCATTGATGCTAGTTTGAAATGGGTGTTGTGCGTGAATAAACAAACAAACAAACAAGTGAACGCGCGCTCTCTCTTTCTGTCTCACACATACACACACACACACAAATCTTGTAGATCAAGACATATATGTACAAGTCAACAGTAGAAATTAAAAGCTTTATATTGACAATGAATGAATTCAGTAGATAATTTCATTGTTGTTGTTGTGAGATAAGTTTAGTTAGTTTACATATTCAACTGTGTTACAAATAACTGACGATTTTTCGTCCATGATGATGATGATGATGATGAAGGTGTCGATGACGGCGGTTGTTTAATGCTTTAAAAATAGAGGAAATAATAATGATTAGGATTTATAATATTGTGGAATTGATTACTGTATATTAATTACATCAATTAGTTAACAGATTCTCTTTGTTATTATTGGATAAATGGTGAGTTAGTTTTTCCTAACTATTTTTGTCAGTAAAAGTTTATACAGTAAAAAAGTCAATATTTAGTTCAAGTCTATTTATTATTTGAAAAAGTCAATCATGTTATGTCATATATGAGGCAATTAGTTAGTTAGTTATCTGTTGATAGCAGTTTTTATATATTACTTACTCGCTCACTTACGTTTGACTACTACCCCTGATGAAGTATAGGCTATCAACCAGTATTCTTCAACCTGCTCTGTCCCGGAACATTCTTTCTAGTTCTGTCCAATGTTTGTTCATTCTTCTCATATCTTTCTCTATTTCTCGGCGTAATGTGTTCCTTGGTCTTCCTCTTTTCCTTTTGCCTTGAGGGTTCCATGTGAGGGCTTGTTTTGTGACACGGTTAGGAGCTTTCCGCAATGTGTGTCCTATCCACCAACTCCACCGCTTCTTCCTGATTTCCTCTTCCACTGGAATCTGATTTGTTCTCTCTCACAGTTCGTTGTTGCTGATGATTTCTGGCCAACGAATCCGAAGTATTTTGCGTAGACAACTGTCGATAAATACTTGTATCCTCTGGATGATGGCTTTGGTAGTTCTCCAAGTTTCTGCCCCATATAGTAGAACTGTCTTGACATTTGTATTGAAAATTCTGAAATAGGTGTTGGTTGATAGTTGTTTGAAGTTCCAAATATTCTTCAATTGTAGAAATGTTACCCTTTACTAATCCACCCCTTCAAATTCGCATCAGGTTCACTATGATCGTCAATGATACTGCTTAAACATGTAAAGGTTTTTACGTTCCCTAAGGCATCTCCATCAGGAGTGATTTGGTTAGCACATGTTTTGTTCAATCGGAGAATCTTGATTTTCCCTTTATGTATGTTGAGAACTTTCTGGTTAGTGTTGTTAGTTTTCTACGGGATGAAGTCACCAACCGTATGTTCAACCCTCCTCTTTTATCCGGGCTTGAGACCGTCAGTAGCCTCAGAGGGGCTCCATGCAGAGTTAAAGATCTCATAGCTCGTTACTTTAGGTTGTAACTGATAGTGTCTGGCCAACGAACCGGAAGTATTTTGCGTAGACAACTGTTAATAAATACTTGTACCTTCTGAATGATAGCACTGATAGTTCTTCAAGTTTCCGCTCCATAAAGTAGAACTGTCTTGACATTTGTATCGAAAATTGTGACTTTAGTGTATATTGATAGTCATTTTGAGTTCTTGATGTTCTTCACTTATAAAAGAATGCTAACCAGAAAAAAAATAATTCTAACCAGTTTTTAAATATGGTTTTATCTTTAACAAATATCGATAACATGATTGATGCTAGAAATATCAACTATTATTGAATACACTACTGACTAAAGTAGTATAGAGATTAGGCGATAATCTTAAAATTGAAATCTCTTATTAACTCTTGTCAGTATATATTTATCAGAGTAGAAAGACAAGGCTTTTTTTTCTTCATATATTATCTGACGTTACAGTTGGGATAAACAAAGACTTCAAGGTCAAATGGAAAAACATTGTACAATTTACGAACTCAATCTGTATACTTTAGTTATCCATCAATTGTACAAGCAAATTATTGACTATTATCAGTTACATGTCTTCTTGTCTTTAAAGCTACACTGATCACACTAAGTATTTTGATTTTCCTATCATTCTTAACTCTGTTAATGACTTTTAAGCAACACTAAACTACTGTACTACTTATATACCACTATGTTAGTAGTATCTACACGACAGAATAAATTAAATTAACATAAGCACACACACTGAAGTGCTGCTAGTCATCATGTTGTTTTCTTTTTAAAAAACCGGTCAATTGTCAATATTTCACATTTGTTCTATTCTTTCATTATGAAAAAAAAATAAATAACTTTTTAGCAATCACAAGAAGAATTGAATCTTGATCAATTAATTGAAGTACTTAGTTATGATAAGAAAGATTTACCTATGGAATTAACTGAAAAATCTATCGCGAATACACAACGTCAAATTGGTAGTAGAAGTGTGAAAATTTTAATGGTAATTACTCGTTTTTTGAAAAACATTTTTTAATTATTTTTGAAAAAGAAAATTAGTATAGTTTAGTGAGTTAGGTAGGTAGGCAGTTAGTTGGAAGTACTACTTACTTACTTACTTACTTACTTACGCCTGTTACCCCCAATGGAGCACAAGTTTTCTCCAACTAACTCTGTCCTAGGCTTCTCTTTCCAATTCTGTCCAATGCTTGCTCGTTCCTCTCATATCTTTCTCTATTTCTCGGCGTAGTGTGTTCTTTGGCCTTCCTCTTTTCCTTTTGCCTTCAGAGTTCCATGTGAGGGCTTGTCTGGTGACGCAGTTAGGTGCTTTCCGCAATGTGTGTCCTATCCACCAACTCCATCGCTTCTTCCTGATTTCCTTCTCCACTGGAATCTGGTTTGTTATCTCTCACAGTACGTTGTTGGTGATGGTGTCTGGCCGACGAATCCGAAGTATTTTGCGTAGACAGTTGTTACTGAACACTTGTATCTTGTGGATGATGGCTTTCGTAGTTCTCCGAGTTTCTGCTCCATATAGTAGAACTGTCTTGACATTTGTATTGAAAATCCTGATTTTGGTTTTGGTTGAAAGTTGTTTGGAGTTGCAGATATTTTTCAACTGTAGAAATGCAGCCCTTGCTTTGCCAATCCGCGCCCTCACATCTGCATCCGATCCACCTTTCTCGTCGATGATGCTGCCCAGATATGTAAAGGTGTTAAAGTCCTCCAAGGCATCTGCATCAAGAGTGATTTGGTTGGTGCATTTTGTGTTGCATCGGAGAATTTTGCTTTTTCCTTTATGTATGTTGAGACCTACTGCTGCAGAGCCTGCTGCTACACTGGTTGTCTTCTCTTGAATTTGTAGTTGCGTGTTAGTTGGAAGTAGTCACAACATAAACACTTTGTTTCATTTTTTTAGGTTTATGTAGTGAGTTGGTGTCAATCCACTACACACTTTTAAATGTTACTACGGAGATATTCAAGGTCACCACCACCACAGGTACACCGTAGTGTTTAAGACACCTCTATGATATCATCCTGTCTACGCTGTCCAATGCTTTCTCGCTGTCAACGAAGTTTATGTATGGTGATGAGTTTCATTCAATTGATTGCTACACAATGATTCATAATGTATCACGATTTGGTTGGTACACGATCGATTTTTAAGGTATCAGGTCTTCTGATCTCGAAGTCGAAAAATTAATGATGCTTTAATTCCTTTGTAGTTTTTCTCTATGGTAGTTTCCTCTTCAGTGAGTAGATTGTATCCAGTACCTCTCAAGTCTCAATTTCATCTTGATTAATACCAGTAGTGAAATGAAGTCATGCCATCTCTTCTCATTTCTTCTGAATCCTCCATCTTTCTTCTGAACTCTCTGTGGTGTGATCCAGTGCAGTCTATGTGGCTTTATGTATGGATATAGATGAAACATAGGTTCGCAAATCTCTCACCATTTTCGTTCCTTTCTCCAAGTTTATGCTGTCCCATCATAACTTCATAGCCGGTGTTGTCCATGCCAACCTTGGCATTTAGGTCTCTGATCAGAATGGTCAAGTCCTTTGTTGGAAATTTTCCTACGATTTATTTCAGCTTGTCATAGAATTGAGCTTTATCGTCCTCATTCTTGTCATAAGTAGGAGCACAGCATTGAATTGCATTCCTTGTCATCACCTCTCTCTTTGTTCTGAAGGATACTCTGTTGAATATGAGTTCACGAGATTCCAATCCTGTCAGTGCTTTTCGTGCTTCTTTGGACCGCATCAGTGCGAATCCTAGTGTATGTGAGGTATTTTCTTCTTCTTAACTGGAGTACGACTGCATCTCTTCTGAAGCTAATCTTTTCATCCAACATGCGTCCATGTTTCACTTATTCTAAGTAGCATCACGATGTATCTTTTTACTCCCGCAGCAACGTAAGTAATTCTGCCAGTCTCCCATAATGCACGAACATTCCATGTATCTATATAGATGGTTGATCTAGTTGTGGGAAAGGGTATCGGCTTAGTAACTTCCAAAGGAACTCGACTTTTATCCTGAGACATCATAACTCTTCTAAATGAAGACTTTCCAACTCCTAGGGTAGAGTTCAAATGTTCTGAATAACGATTACTGCCAGTTCCAAGACCAGTTAATAGAGGAGGGATTACGCATGAGGTTAGTAATTACATCCCGTTGAAAAGTAACTTGCTCAAAAACTCAAAAATGCTAACCAGAAAACATACAGTTCAAATTAATAATAGCCTAATCAATTAGTACCATGATTCAGTCTGATTAGATAGGAAGGCTCTATATGGAGTAGGCTGTCGAATACTGATTAGCAGCCTATGCTTCATTGGAGGTATGAATGGAATTTAACTACAAAGAATAGTTCATGTATAGAAATACCATCTACATGCAACGTAGAACTTCGTAGGTATGTACATAAGTTCAGGTAGCCATACCACATTAGCACAAACAATCAAGATCGAAGTTAACAGAACAAGCTACGAGTTAAACGTGGAGAAATTCGAATACTTCACTTCTTCTTTCTGAAGTTTTTACTGATGATGATGTTGTTCAGCAGAAGAACAATGATGAAAGCTCCACAACTTAAACATTCAGCTCATAGAGAACAGCACAACTCCACCACCATTTTCACATTCACTTTTATATGTAGTCATTTATTCTTCATTTGTTTTGGTTATTTAAATCTTCCAATCGATATTTACGACTGTGATCGATTAATCTCATCGGCATATGTGCATACTATGTGGATAACCTTGAAATTGCTTTTAAGTTATTAGCATTACAGTGACCAGCAGGGGAATCTAAGTGTTAGTGGAGCATAGATGGACTAAAGCATGACTGAGTTAGTTGCACGCTGATTGGCTAATTCCTATCCAATCAGCGCTGGTCGATACTTGGAGTACAATCGAGAAGTTTCTCATGTAAAAACTATAAATATACTTCCACTTAACCTTGCTATTTGATAATATAATCCCTTCCCTTGTTCAACCGCATTCTGATTTAGGCACTTGTCAAGTGAATTGTTGTCAGAGAATACTAAACAATAAGAATATCTGGGTTTACTAAAACAGAATGAGCATTTTGTCCTATTTGAGACATTTTAGTTGGATATACCTACCATATATCAAATTCAATGTTCACTTCAGAACTTCAGAACCTAATACCCCCTTTCACTTCAAACGTTGTCATATTTTCACTCAGTAGATAGATAAATGGATAATGCTATGAAGCTTAGAACAAACGGTACTAGTGTTGTGAACGAGAACACAGGTGGGCCAACCGAATTGTATTTAACGAAAATTACAGAGTTACTCAGTAAAATCGGAAAACCATATCGTAAATCGTTCATTTGCAAAATATCAGTTCATCATATCAAACTGGAATGTTCCTGTTGCAAAACATCAACAATCCATTGTCACTATTCATGCTATTTCATACAAATTCCATTGTGTTCCCACTCTTCTTCTTTTCTTGATCTTCCCCCATCTTCGGCTGCCAGACATTACGTCGACACTCACGTCATATACTACTTATAAGTAGCTCGCACCACACTAGGTCTGACTGAGTCTCAAGAATGAACATCCAATCTAAGATGTTACAGGTACATCTAGCTAAAATGTCTCGAATCGGTCAAGACACACATTCTGGACTCCATCCACTACTAACTAACTAGTCATTAATATTCATCTCTACTAATAAGTTATAATATTTTGTTTGAATTTGTCAACTTTTTTCCTCTTTTTTTTTTAAAACAAAAAAATAGCGCGGTATTACTGAACAACAATTATTAGATTTAACTCATGCAGCTCGTGAATTATTTATGAATGAATCAGTTCTTGTGCACACAAATTCACCATTAATTATTGTTGGTGATTTACATGGACAACATAGTGATCTATTACAATATTTTAAACGTTGTGGTAAACCACCAGAACAAAAATATTTATTTTTAGGTGATTATGTTGATCGGTTAGTAAGTGATTCAATGAATTATTGATTTTCTTTTGTATTTTTTTTAAAAAAAAAATTAAATATCATTGTGAATGGTCATTGTTTTTATATTGAGTTATTGATATGTTTGAATGTTATTATGAGTTTACCTTAGTCGGTAAACGAGAGCTAAGACAAATGATGCAGTGACATGATAGGCTATTCTAATCCGTTTGTCCCCGGCCCGGTTATCAAGAAGTCTTGATAAGGCGTAGAAAGTGTATTCTACAAGCACCCAGAAAATATGAGGTCGGCAAGCACACAAATCGAGCTGATTTATACCTGATAGCGACATCATTGGTGAGAGCCACAAAAATGGCGTACTAAAATAATCCATCGAGTAGGAAATGTAAGCTGAAGGTCAACTAAGCGTCTGTGGCGTGAAAACACAAAAGTCCAAAATTAGAACCTTTATCAAGTGAGTTCTGTTGATCTAACGTCCCCAACAGCTATTGACATTACTTTGTCATTACTTTTTAGGTTACAAAACATATCCATTGTGTCTGTGGTCCTTACTTAACTTATTTAAACCCGTCTTCCTCAATGGAGTATAGACTGTTTCCTGAGCCTTCCTGTCCATTTCTATCCAATTACTGTTTGTTCTTCTGATATTTACTTCCAATTCTTGTCTTAATGTGTTGTTTGGTCTTCCTCTGTTCCTTTGACCTTGAGGATTTCAATTGAGGGCTTGTCTTATGCTGCAGTTAAGTGCTTTCCACAATGTGTATCCTATCCACCTCTAGTGATTTTCCCTAGTTCGGTTTCTTCTCTCCCATTTATGTCTCACTGTTGTAGGAATACTTGAAAAGAATGTAACACCTTCAAAATCTTCTGCTCTTTGAGTTACAATTATCCATCTTCATCGTTATCATCAGCACTACTGACATCCTCATATCGGACTAGAAATTTGTATTAAAATTAAACTTACAGTCGAATAGAGATGGATTGTAACTTTTATTTGTAATCCGTTCAAATAGAGTGAGGAGAATACATATTGTCATCACACAAGCGATCATGAAGTTCATGTCCAGTGATAGACAGTGCTGACAACTATTACTAGTGTGTGGTTAACATGTGTAAACTTCAGTGGTTGATCTTCTACCTGGGTAATTCACTTGTTGACTTAAAATAGGCAGGTGATATGATTCTGTATGATGAAGAGTCTTCTAACCACTTTAAACAACACGTATGGAATACCGTTCTCTCTCTAATGCAGAATATTGCTTCAGGATTGGCTTGCGTTAACACATGAAATAATGATACAGAGAGCAGTTTAATGTGCCAACAACTTTAATTATCTAGGTTGGTTCATTAGTCCTGATGGTGAAATTTCGTCAAGGATAGAGAAGGTTCGATTAACTTTGTCAAATTGCGTCACTTATGGCGTAGGCTTAGGACACACACTGCAAAAAGCACCCGAATGCGTCATAAGGCAAGCCCTCACATGGAACCCTCAAGATCAAAGGAAAAGAGGAAGGCCAAGGAACACATTACACTGAGAAATAGAGAAAGACATGAGAAGAATAAACAAAAACTGGAAAGAACTAGAAAGGGAAGCCCAGGATAGAGTGGGTTGGAGAAAACTGGTGGGTGGCCTATGCTCCTCTATTGGGGTTAACAGGCGTAAGTAAGTAAGTTAGTATGGGGTAGGCTAGATATCCGTCTGTCAACCAAAGGATGTGTTTACTGCTTTTCAGTTAGCTCTGTTCTAATTTATGAGTACAAAAACATGATTATAAGGAAAAGAGGATATTCGTAGGTTACCAGTATTCAGTCATAGATTCCTACGAAGAATTACTGGCGCATGAGTAGGTTAGATGTTGATTGTCGGATGAGCATAGCAAGTCCATTGGTAAAGTAGTGAACTTACGTCGGTTGAGATGGTTGGGACATACATTACATATTCAACTGGCATCCAACATAATGCACGATAATATAGCTTGTGTGGAAGTGAGTTGAAAGAACGCTTAGCTAAGAAATGTCACCATTCCATGAAGTCATTGACAATTGAACTGAGCCATATTAAAAATAGGTGTAGACTATTTGGTTGAAGTCCACACGATGATCGTAACCAGTGGTCAGAGACTCGAATTGGTATGACTGAAAGTCGTTTTCAATGTCACGGGTGCATTTATTCTTTGACCTGCCCCAAATTCCTTATAACTTCTCATTTATTTATTTACTTCGCTGATTTATATTTTTTCGAATCTTATGTTCAACCTGTAATCTTTTCAAATAGCACTGATACTATTACTTCTCTCACTATTATGAGATTTGGCCTGATGATTTCATTTGTGTTTCACTGTGGAATGGCAACTTGAATTGATGTGCCTACGTACCAAGTGTGTATCTTTCATACACCATAAAAGTTTAAAAATTTCATATCGTGACATCAAATCTTTGTACGTAGAGGAAATTCGTTCAATCTCAAAAGCCGTCACCCAACTATCCACAAATTCTTTACAAGATAGGGTTCAGTAACATATATATCAGAATCTTCATTTAGATTTCAACGAATTAGGTTGGTTAGGCGTTCAATTATTGTGATACGTTATATCTCTGCAAATTTCAATGATCAAACTTAAACAAAATTCAATGTTCACTTAGACAGTTTAGTTTAAACTTTTTCGATGAAACTAATCAAAATAATCAAAACGAATCATGTCAAAACAAAATCTATACGAATAGTTAAAACTACAGACTATTGGACATTGATTTAAATGTATAGTAAAAATTTGAAATCAACGGATGTTTGTTTTTTTTTGAAATCTCAAGTGTTTGATACCTTAATCGATCATGCGTTTAATAAGAGACAAAAAATATCTGTCCACTAGATCTCTTCAATTTCAGTTATCTCTATGGAGATATAAGTGTATAATTAACAGAATGGAGGTTAAATCATTTTGTTTCTTTTTTCAACTCTTATTTCAATATTTTTGTTTAAATAATCAATTTAATTGATGTGACAATGTATTTTTATTTTGTTTTAAAAAAAAAATGAATTTTATTCATCTATTAGTGGTCGACAATCATTAGAAACGATTTCACTTATTTTGGCTTATAAATTAAAATATCCTGATAAATTGACTGTATTACGTGGAAATCATGAATGTAGTCGTATAAATCGGTAAGTTTATCGATTTATTTTGTGAAACAATGCATGTATGCACTTGAAAAATTCGTTAGTTAGTTTCTTGATTCAAAACTACTTAAACAATAATAGTAGTGTGGTGCGAGCTACTTCTAAGTAGTATATGAAGTGAGTGTCAGTCAACGTAATGTCTGGCAACAGAAGATGGGGGAAGATTAAGAAAGGAAGAGTTAGAACACAATGGAATTTGTATGAAATAGCATGAATAGTGACAATGGATTGTTGATGTTTTGCAACAGGAACAGTCCAGTTCAGTATGATGAACTGATATTTTGCAAATGAACGATATACGATATGGTTTTCCGATTTTACTGAGTAACTCTGTAATTTTCGTTAAATACAATTCGGTTGGCCTCACCTGTGTTCTCGTACACTACAGTGGTATATGACACTTGTTTCGTGCAATCCATCATATCATCAATTGGAAATCTAAAATCGAATTTTTACGCTACAAGAATAGTTAATATTTGTTTATTTCAATGCTAAAATGAATTAAGTTACAAGCATTAATGACTAGGATTAACTCTATCTTCGATACATTTTTTTCGTCACGTTATACTACTTAATTATCTCAAGTAGTTTACTTGTCTAGAAGTAATGTATTCTCTGGGTCATCACACAATTAAATTCAAAACAATCAAAGCATTTATCGAGTGGTTAATGCAGGTAAATTTTAAGCAGTATGTTAAAGGTTTGTACTTCAACCCAGAGTTACATTGGATGATAAAGACAGTTGTTATGTCTTTGATTTAACAAATTAAACGTTCACTTTGCACAAGGAACCGTCAGTCAATGTATTCAAAGACACACCAGTAAAATCTCTTAAAAAGGAACATTTTTTTTTACATAAAGTTTATAATCGTTATAAACAGTACATCTCAGTAAATGCTAACTATATCAGTGAGATCTGATGACTAAAACCGTTATTGATACTAATCAGAAACATCTATTAAGATTTCCAAATCAACGATTAACCTCTTTATTAAATGTATCCCGTGACATGCATTTTGACAATCCACGTCCAAAACGCCTGACATTTTACATTGAAGTTGAAGTATACTACTAATTCTACTACCCGAATTTCTGCCAGTGCTTCTAATACTCAATTTTATTACTGGAATCATGAATCAATCATTGTAAGACCACCATTAGAAACCTAGAAGTACTGGACGACTGTTTCGTCCTGGTACGGGACACATCAGCAGTGCACATTCACGACTCCAGCTACTCGTAGGACTCGAACCTAAGACCTTCAGTCATGCGCGCAAATACGAACCACTGGGCCAGCGTCCAGCGGTGATTAATCTAAGGATTTTAATCGTTTTCTTAACTGGATTTAATCTTCATTTGTTCCAATCATAATAAAAAGTTTTTCATCAATCTTTTTTCCAATTCATCTTTCATCAATTATCATGATAGTATATATGGTTTTTATGATGAATGTAAACGTCGTTATTCAACAAAATTATGGAAAGTATTCACTGATTGCTTTAATTGTCTTCCTTTAGGTATGTTCTAATGTTAACTATATCTATGTATAAAAACAAATTCATATTTTGTTAAATATTTTTAAAATTGGGTTGTACTGTGGTGCGCGCTACTTATAAGTAGTATATGACGCGAGTGTAAACGTAATGTCTGGCAGCAGAAGATGGGAGGGAAGATCAACAAGAAAGGAAGAAGAGTGGGAACACAATGGAATTTGTATGAAACGCATGAATAGTGGTGAAATGTCAGACAATGGATTGATGATGGATTGAAGATTTGCAAATTTCACCGTTTACGATATGGTTTTCCTATTTTACTGAGTAACTCTGTAATTGGCGATCAATACAATTCGGTTGCCCTCACCTGTGTTCTCCTTCACTATAGTACTATTGTGATTGTTTCATTCAGGGTTAATATTTATGTGATCATATAGTGAATCAGCGAAAAGCTTAGAAAAAATGGTAGCGTTTTTATTTTTGTTAAAGATTTTTAAACGTTTCCGCCACATAACCTTCATATTGGATATGGAATTTATGGAAAGTACATTGGATATCCGAGCAGCTGATATTTCCTTCATTAATCATATCAATACCATCACTACGTATCTTGAAAGATGTAGAAACCTTTACATACCTGGGTAAACAAGATCGGTTTGATGTAGATGTAAAGACGCACATATTAGCCCAGCAAGGGCGGCATTTCTGCAATTGAAGAACATCTGAAACTTAAAGCAACTGTCGACAAGCACCGAAGTCAACATTTTCAATAGAAACGTCAGGATAGTGCTATTGTATGGGGCAGGAACTTGTAGAACCACAAGTGCTTATTGACAATTATGTGCGTAAGATACACCTCATCCATTGACCAGACACCATCAGCAACAACCTGCTTTTGGAGAGAAAACAAATTCCCACTGAGGAAGAAATGAGGAAAAGACGCTGAAGGTAGAAATGACATACATTGTGAAAAGCACTTAACTGAGCCACAAGACTAGTTTGAAAATGGAATCCTCAAGTATAGAAGAAAAGTGATAGACCAAAAAATGCATTACGCCGAGAATCGGCTTAAATGAAAAGAAAGAACTGGAAAGGGAAGGCCCATGACAGTTGGTTGGAGAATGCTGATCGTTGATCTATAGTCCATTATAGGTAACAGGCGTAAGTAAATACCAGTCAGTATTATTAAAGATATCCTTCTTTTGTAACATATCTAAGGATTATTTGATTCATAACAAGAACTTCAGCAATACGTACAGAAGATATCAAATGAAATTTTAAAAACAACCCAGCTTGATTAACTTAAAAATGACATGTTGAATGAAATAAAGTTTTTGACAGAAATAGATCTTCAGTGGCCCGAGAAAACAGACTCCAATTTGGACGAATGATTGAACATTCTATGAAATAAATCTTCCCTGCAATTTCTGTATATCATGTTTACGCAACCCCTGTTTGTCAGACGGCGTCAACAAGAAGCCGAAATACGGGTTCAGTTCGAAGAGTTTATTTCATGTAATCGTCCACTCAGACAGATATGTCAATAAAAAGCTTAAAGCAAATCAATGCTATCGAACATGACTTGATGGTTAGACATAAATAAGCTAGACATGTGATAAACGAATTTAATGATTCACACATTGCACTCAAGGTTATAAGTGAATAATTGACAAGGTCATTCAGTGTGCGTATGTTACATTCGATCAGAAAAAATCAATTATTTTGTCCGAAATCTAGGCCACACGTTATATGACCTCAAAAGATTTGTGTAGAGGTTGGAAATTACGATTTAACAATTTATTGATAATCTTTTCTCTATAATTCTTAACAATTAGTTATTTATCCTTTAAAAAATTTGTTTCTTTAAAAATTACAATTTAACTGATTTTTTTGCGTTTTTACAGTCATTTATAATGATTTTCTTTTATTTTTCAAATATATTTTGACTATACAGCTGCATTAGTTGACAATAGCATGTTTTGTGCACATGGAGGTTTATCGCCAGATTTAAAGAAATTAGAACAAGTAAGTTGTACTGCATTGCAGAAGTTCTTTATTGCAACACAGTGGTTTGTGTATGAAAGCTATTGAATGGCATTGTGCAAGTAGTCATAAACTAATGCCTAATTAAACAACTGTTAAAAACTAGAAAGCACTGGAAAACCGATTTATTTTATCAGCATAGAATTGAGTAATGAGTATTCAGGACCTGAATGAGAATAAAACCGAACATCTTCAAGTTGATTAGTAAGTAGTTGAGCTTTAGATCACTTAGTTGCGATCCATTTGGCGTATATGTTCAATTTTAGTTAATTAAAGTTTAAGTGCTTGTTGAGAGTACTTGAAGTTCTTGGTTATATCCGTAGTAAGATTATGGGTTTGTGCTACTGAGGTGTCCCAGTACTAGGAAACAACGGTTATCAAACATTTCCTGGTTTTCACAGTTATTTAACTAAGATCAGTTCATTGTGTAGACTATGAAGCTGATATGCTTGCAGCTAATACGAGTTCACCTTACTCGGTGAAGGGAGAGAAGATGAACGATACAGTGCTACGATAGGCTATTCTAATCCGTTTGTCCCAGGAACCGCTAACTAAAAGAAGTCTTGATAAGGCGTAGAGAGAATATATTCACAGGCAACCAGAAAACACGAGGTTGACAAGCACACAAGTCAAGCTTGTTTATACAAAGATAAGACGCCCTTGGTGAGGGCCACAAGATAGCCTACTAAGGCAATCCGCCAACCAATAACCGTCAAGGATTTTCCGAGTGAGAAACGCAAGCTGAACGTCAGAATAAACATCTCTTGGCGCAAAAACATAAAAATTCAAAATTTCAGAAATAAACTACAAAATTAGAACCTTTTCCAATTGAGTTCCGGGGATCTAGCGTCCCCAACAGAAGTATAATATTTGTAGTGGGTTTCTTCAAGTCATCTAGTTTCTGATAATCATAATTTTGTTTAGTCTTGGTAGATTTATGTATATCCTGTGGCGATTGTATCGATATAGCCATTTAGACAGATATCTTTAAAAAAAGAGACAGATTTGGACTAACAGTAGAATCCAAGATGAGCGTTTCACCCTATTTAGGACTCATCGGCATGATATACTTACATTCTAGTGTTGATGTTCACAGGATTTCACAAGCCACTGGTTATCTGAACTTAGCAATTCATTTGATAATACTTCAAGTGTTAGATTCAAAAGTTATAAGAATCCTGCATTCTTTACCCAGTAGTATTCTGTCTCGTCTTCTTTTATAAACTTTTTCTTACAGTTTTATTTAACAGCATTGAAAAAAGAATTCTATTCATTTTGTTGTTAAATGATGTTAATATTTCGTTTGTTTAAAATTATTTCACTTCCTTTAAAGTTGAATGATATACGACGTCCAACTGAAGTACCAGATATGGGTATTATTTGTGATTTATTATGGTCAGATCCTGATGGAGTAAGTTCATAATTCTAAAATATTCGTATACACTTGAGATAGTGAAATGTCAAAGGAATCCCTCGTTTGTTAGAGAACTGGAACTCTTGTCATCCTGTTTGACTTCTTGAATTTGGAACATTCTGTTTTAGAAATCCGATAACCCATAGTACTTAATCTATGAAATTCGATTAACTCCAAAGGGATTACTCAGTGATTACAAACGTAGATTGGGATAATGATCATCTCAAGCCAGAGAGAGAAGCAGAGCTGAACAATGTAAACGTTTCATCCTAGTCTGAAACTATTATATAATGCTGTACCAAACCTTTACATTATATTAAAATTCACTTATCTTGGGAGTCTCATCAGTGCTGATGGCCCGGTGTCTGACGAAATTTCAGCACACATTTATGATCCCTACCGGCTTTCGCCAACTTGCGTCACTTTTGGCGTAGGAGAGATATTCGCATACTAACCGGAGGACAGAGTTTACTGAGCAGCAATTTGCTTCGTCCTACTATATGGGGGTGTGAAGCATAGCCAGTAAAAATAGAGGATATTCGTAGGTCACTAGTATTCGATCATAGGTATCTTTGAAGCACATTGCTCATATATCCTGGGACCACCGATTAAGCAATATTGGGGTTAAGAAAAGTGTATTAGATAAGGATGACAGATCAATCGATAACGTGGTGAATCTTCATCGTTTGAGATAGTTATGACATGTGTTACGAATGCCCAACCACCGCTAATACTTCCACTACATCTATTCAACTATGGGACTTGGATTAACGATTCGATCAGTTTGGGTTAATGTGTTATGGCAACTCGAACTGATGAATGTACGTACGAAGTACTGAGTTATAGCTGACTGAATGAATTGAGATTTTAACTGATTGTTTAAATATTTTTTGAATTTTAATTATTTTTAAATTAACCTAAAAAATAAAATTTCAAACGTTTAGAAAAGAAATTGTAGCTGATTGAAATCTTTCAATTGTGTACTAATTTTCAAACCGATAACATTTTGATGTAAGGATTAGTTTACTTATCACATAATAATTTACAATAGAAGTTGTATATCAGTGATTCGCAATATAATTGTCTGAATGTTAGTCAGTACAGTGTTTTCGGAAATTGTTGAGATTCATTCAAATCATGAACCGATCATTGGTAGACCATCAAAGGAAACCTGAAAGCGCTGGATGTCCGTTTCATCCTAGTACGTGACTCATCAGCAGCAGTGCATATCTACAACTCCGTAAGCGGGAATTTAACCCAGGACCTTCGACATCTCATGTAAACCTTTAACCTCTTGAACACTTAGCCAGCATCCAAAGGTGTTGACGTCCAGCTTGACTAATGGATTTCAACTGTCTTGGGTATAAGGCTCATCCACCGAAGATATTAAATGGTCGTCAAATAATATCGTGCACTGATCCAATTTAGAGAAATTGACTTAGTGGTCTAGTAATTAAGCGTTCGCATGCGAGACCAAAGACCCTAGGATTGAGTCATGCAGTATGGTGGTGGCGGATGCATACTGCTGAGTCCCATACTAGGACCGAACGGCCATCCAGTACTGTCAGCTTTACAATGATAGTCTAACATTGATCTGTTTAATTTAACTAGTCAGGTTTATCAATTGTGTGTAGATAAGTACATGCTTTCCATTAATTACTTGCAACTTATGAAGAATTCGATGAATGGGAATTTTAAGAACCAATTAACAGGTTCGTAAATTCCTCAAATCTTATATCTTTTAGAGAAATGATCAATGACTTCTATACGACAACAAAAAGAGATATAATAAAAACAATACTCTTTGTAAATATTTACAAGTCAAATACTTTTTATTATCTTGTGTTAAATTCAAACTAAGGCTAGCCACTTTCATGGCCCGCAATATGACTCTAATTTGTATGAATGGATTAAGTAGGCTATGAAATAAATCTTCCAATCGATTTCTGTTTGAAGCGACAGGGGTACTAAGCAGCCAACTACAGATTCAGTTAGATGAGTTCATTTCATGTAACTGTTCACTCAAACAGACATGAGCATAGAAAGTGTATAAGTAAAGCATAGCAAAGTGAAATAAAGAAGGTAAGTGGATCAACTCAATGAGACGACGAAGCATGGCTGAATATTTATGGTCAAGACATGTGATCGACGAAGTAAGCATGCATAAATACACACAAACGCAAATAGAGACAACCAAAATGTTAAGCTGATACTTGACAAGGTCAAAAGACGTGAGAATCGTAACTCGGACAGAAAAGACAAGTAGTTTTTCCAAAAGCTAAGACAAACTCTATGAGCTCGACATATTAATACCACACTTTATCTTACAAAAACACAAATTTTAAATACAATATTGCATAATTTATACTGAGACTTTTTAAAAAAAAATTATTTTTAGTCATATACTGGTTGGAAAGAAAATGAACGTGGTGTTTCTTATACATTTGGTGAAGATGCTGTCATACGTTTCATGGAAGATTGTAATGTTAAACTAGTTGTTAGAGCACATCAAGTTGTTGAAGATGGTTATGAATTTTTCGCGGATAAAAAAGTAAATTAAAAATTTTTTTTGAAAACAAAATTGCGAAAAATATTTTTCGGGCAGAGTTTTGGAGGTTTTGTGTTTTTACACATTTGAAATCATCAATCAATCGTTGTTAGACCACCATTAAAAACCTGGGAGCACTGGACGGCCGTTTCGTCCTGATATATGACTCATCAGCAGTGCGCATCTACGTGACTAATGAAGTTCAACCCTGTCGAATGTAGGCAGTAACTATAAAAGACAAATGGGTGAGGTTGCGCAAAAATCCGTAGATCAATCAGAGTTAGACATTAACACCGTTGGATGCCGGCCCATTGGTCCGGTGGTTAGGCGTTCGCGCACAATACCCAAGGGCCCGGGTTCGAATCCTGCGAGTGGCAGGAGTCGTGGATGCACACTGCTGCTGATGAGTCCCATACCAGGACGATACGGCCGTCCAGTGTTTCCAGGTTTCTGATGGTGGTCTAACTATGATTGATTGATGATTTCAAACGGGAAAAATATTTTCCTATTCATATTTAATATATGCGTAGTTAGATTAGAAAAGATTTAAAAATAGTTCAGTTAGTAGTAACATTACAATTTGTGAAAAATACATCCATCAGAGAAAAGGTATCAATTCAATGGAAATATTGACGAGTGATAAGTTAATCACGAATCTTAGATGAAAGAAGAGTTTTCTTTCGAATATCTACAACTCTATTATAAAGGACATTAATTATTTATGAAAATGATATGCCTGCAGCTCTGACGAGTTCACCTTACTCGGTAAACGGAGAGAAGATGAACGATACAGTGACAAGTTAGGCTATTCTAATCTGTTTGTCCCTGGCATGGCTAACTTTATCAAGAAGTATTGATATGGCGTAGAAAGTGTATTCTACAAGCACCTAGAAAATACGATGTCCACAAGCACACAATCGTCCATATATAAACTTGGTTTGCAGAGTGATCGGTTTCATTAATTACTGGTGTTGGTTGTCTTGTAACATTCTCGACGGGATATTGTCATTTGGACGCTGTAATGCATATCACGATTGTTAATAATAATCAGTAAGATGGATGAATCGAATTTGCTCGATCATGGATCAGAAATAATCACTATATGTATTGATGTATATTATATAAGTGGAGTGAATGGTCGATCTGGGTGTCATGTACCTGTCTGGCTGTACCATAGGGTTGATTTGTACTGTTCAGATTGTAGTGTTAACACCTGAACAATATCTGGTTCTCCTGAAAACACATGTAAAACTATCCTCGCCCACTGAGAGTAAGTTTATATGATTCTGAAGTGTAAACTATAGAGACGAATGAATTTCGAAAATGTAAGAGGCTCTATTTGATCAGATCGTTCATGAAATGTGATGCCACCAGGCTAAAATTTGTTTTTCAACACCAGTTGATTGGAGTAAGGATTCAGGGAGTTTTGATTGATTAAACAGATTTGGGAATCTATGTATTTTTGTGTTGAGGACATTAGATCCACAGAACTCATTTGGAAAAGGTCCTAATATTGTAATTTATTTCTGGAATTCTGAATTTCATTGTTTTCACGCCAAAACGCCTAATTGACTTTCAGCTTACATTTCCCACTCGGGAAATCCTTGACTGCTATTGACTGATGGATGATCTTAGTATGCTATTTATTGGCTCTCACCAAGGGCATTTTATCATTGTATAAATAAGCTTGAGTTGTGTGCTAGTGGACATCGTATTTTCTGGGTGCCTGTAGAATACATTCTCAACACCTTATCAAGGCTTCTTTCTCTAATTAGCGGGGCATGGGAGAACTGGATTAGAATAGCCTATCGTGTCACTGCATGGTTGATCTTCGTCCCATTTACCGAGTGCAGTGAACTCGTCATAGCTGCAAGCATATCACATTTTCAATTTATAGTTCCAAACAATAATTATTCGTCATCGTTTTAAACATTATGATCAGTTTATAACAGTTATTTTACTATTCATTACATATGATTTCTGAATTTTGCGCAAAAACTCAAAAGTCACATTCTTGATGCTGATTGGCTTGTTCGTATATGATACGTTTACTATATTTTTCATATTTTGATATATTCTAATGGTTTTCTGGTCGCTGTTTTATATTTTTGAGGTTGTCACAGTATTTAGTGCAGCAAATTATTGTGGTGAATTTGATAATGCTGGTGCAGTTATGCAAATTAATGAAGATGCAGTTTGTTCATTTGTAATTTTAAAAGTAGGTACTTTTGTCAGTAATATTATTTCGTATATTTATGCTTCATAACAAATAACTGAATTTGTGAGTAGGCTAAGATACTACTATCTAGACGCCCAAACCACAGCAGGTGGTTTTCCTAGAGGCTCACACCCAGAGCCCTTGATGCAATAGTCTAGTCCTCAAGGCAGTGGAGCAACGTAAGGCTATGCACTCTCACCAACAATAGGTCCATACACTATTTGTTTCATCAGGATCTTTTCGTCTATGTGAGCTATTGATTTTGAACCATGATTTTGCAACTCCCCTACTGGTTGGATCGTCTGTGCCCAACAATCTAGACAGTCGCTTTTAGTTCCTTTAATTTTATAAACAACAGCCTCGCTTTGTTGAGGGCGGTGAGTAGGGCTCTTTTGGCAGTGAGAGAGAGATAACGAACTTTCTTTACTCTCTGCTGTACCACGACAGTCACATACAACAATATAGAAATGTCTAGGATATGGATTTTCTTCCATTCATAATCCTAATTGTTACTTGAAGAATAATCTTTATCAACGTTTAGATTGAACAATCCCATAAAAACTATGACATAATGTTACGCATGCGCATCAACATATCATTTGATATGCTTGAACTATTACGAGTTAACCTTAGTCAGTAAACTACAGTGAGGACCGAGGATCCGGCAGCACGACAAGCTACTGTAATCCGATTGGTCCAGACCCCCTTTGAGTGAAAGGAGAAGACTTGATACGTAGTAGAACATGTATTCTACAAACATCCAGAAAGTACGAGATCCGAGTCCAGGAGAGAATCAGGATCTCGGATCGATTTTAAAGAATTAAATTAATGATTTCAATTCATAGTTACATCATGAAAGGATATAGAACAGTTATCTCATCCTAATATAACAAGTGCTCAGAAGAGAGTGTGAATCCAATACCTTGACTAGGAACAGACTTGGGATTTTTTTCGGTGCTTGAGGCAAGCGCCTAGCATTTCAACTACCACTGAGTTTTTTATTTAATAGTTTGAAACTAAATTACATTAAGATTGATGTGTACCTGTACTATCCACCGCATAGAAAACTAACCTGGACTGAACAGTATATAAATTTTAGCAATAGTTGTTCATTGCAACACAACTGAGGCTTGGTAAAATGCTTCTTCAATCGGGCACAAACAATTTGCACCACAGATACATTTGAAGACGATGTGAAATTCTTGACTGAAACATTGATTTTAAACAGTTATCCACTAAAGTTTATCAGTAGGTGTAGAAATCAGTTAAGACAAAAGCTTGTCTTTTATTCTGTTGAAAAGAAAAACGTTTATATCACTTAACTATTTAGAGGCGAATATAATGGTTTAATCTTAAGACAGAGACTAAAGGCAGCAATAGAGAAAACATACTACGCTGCTAAACTGATTAAAATTGATTCCACATAGGCCCAGACATTGCCCGAACGATTACATAATATCCGGTTGCATTTATCAATTTACATGTTTGTGTGGACACATATGTAAGGAGCAGTAACCGGGTTTTGTAATCAAGGGTTATGGAACTGTGCCTAAGTGGCTCCCAAATCAGTTAACTTCAGGTGACCCGATAAACGTGAGAAATAGGAAACCATGTTCGGTGATCGCAAAACCCATAATTGATACAATGCATAAGTTGACATGAAGACAGCCTTCAAAACATTGTATACAAACGTTGAAGGACGGATTTTGAGGTTTATGGAGGCCATGGCTTTCGCAAATTCAAACTCGCCCCACTTATGTGTGCAGAAACAGTTTGTTACTCTGGTAATCTGTAAGCCTTCGTTAATGTAACAATTTCCTACCCTTTCTTATTCTTTCTACAGTACGTTAATTTTCTCTCTCTCCTTCATTTACAGTTATCACCTTATGTCTATTTGAACTTTTATTTAACTGACCTTCTATTCACCTTCAAATAAAATGCCTGGACAAGTATTTACATGATCACATTGTTGGTGGACCTTAGTTAGTACTTGCTTCAAGACCTAGAACGTTTTTTTATCCGATCTGAGGTGAGGTTGTAGATCAGTACTATTGTAAGGAGAAACAAGTGATCAGTGTGTTCAATAGTTTCCATTGAAGTTACATCAACGATGATGGGAATTTTAAATATTTTGTTAATTTAATGACGAAAGTTTCATGAAATTATTCTCATATATAATATTCACTTTAGCCTTATATTACCAAGAAGAAATCAAGTGTGGAAAAATCGGATTCTACTAGTGATTCAGAGAAGAAGGAAAACCCTACTTTGGAAGAAAAAGAAGAGACCCAAGAAACTGTTGACGATCAAAAATCAAAATAACACAGCGATCATTAATCTAAATGTTGACAGAGAGAATAATACGTATGTATTGTTATGTGTGTGTGTGTGTGTGTGTGTGAGTATGTCCTTCTGGACATGTTCAAATGTCATAAATATAACCAGCTTTTTACTAGTTTGTAACTATTGTTTCACTTCTAATTAAATAAAAAAACTATTTTATAATTATCAGATTTAAGATGGTATTGTTTTGATTGTCACGATAGTTGAACTGTTTTACTTATGTATCGCGTGTATATGAAACCTTCATGTGATGACGTGACTTACGCCTGTTTGTTTCTCTTCATGGAGCATAGGCCCACCGTCTAGCATTCTCCAATCTACTCTATCATGGTCCTTCCTTTCCACTTCTACCCAATGGCAATTCAGTTTTTTATGTCTGCTTCCAATCCTTGGCGTAATGTGTTCTTTGATCTTCCTCTTTCCATTTAGCCTTGTGGATTCTAAGTTAGGGCCTGCTTCATACGAGTAGTTATTGATTAATACGTAGTGAGTATCACTCAGATATAAATTACTCGAAATCTGTTTAGTCATCAATATTAACATAAACTTCATCCTGTCAGTTATTTTTAACATTAGTTTGTTCCAAACGAGATCTACTTGTTTCTCACTGTTAGTTATGTCCATAACTAACCAATCAAATCGTGGTTTAAGCGTTCACCATGTGATCTGGTCTGACGTGTGTGTAAACTGCTCTATTGCATATGGCTTATCAACTGAAGGACATTATTTATGTAACTCGTAATATTAGTCATTTGTATAAGACACACCATATTAGTCGGTATGTTTACTTGTTTCACTCAATAGCCGTAATTTCTTTAATTATTGTACCAATCTAATTGTTTTTATGTTTAGAAACAGATAAAGTTTAAAGCCAAGTTGTCCTTCTTCTGACTACAGCTTTCCCACCGATTCTGTATTCTCCAATATTGCGTTTACAGTTCTAGCAGTACATCTGTAGGACAAATTAAATCGTACACTCACGCTAAGTTTACTTATGCCTCTGTAAGGTTTTTAAGTAGTGAAGTGTGTTATGAATTATTAAGAGGGAGTACATTTATGCTTACTTTTTTGTGAGCATTTAGAATTCCTAATTTCTCATTTGTAGAGAAGTAACTGTTCTCAGTCCATGATAAAAATATCTCGTTTCTGATCAAACATGTGTGATTGTTATGAGCTATGCTTCGATTCAATCACAGTATACACTTCATGACTCTTGCTCAACCAGTTATTTAGCAAACGAAGATTTGATTTGATCTCTAAGGCTGGATCAATGTGCATATAAGTCACTCTAAAATAATGACTGCTATAAATCATTCTTGTATTAGGAATAACCAAACTGTAGCTGCGATTTTGATGCGATGATTGTAGTCGTATTTGATGACAATCCAGATGGTAAATTTTATCCAAAATATCTTTCCTTTCAGTTTGTGTATATCAAGTCAGACAGATTGATTGGGTTATGAAACATGAGCTGTGGAAACAAAGTCGTACTGGGATATTATAGAAGTAGAGTGTTTCTTCAAAGACAGTCAATATCTCTAGCAATGCTGGAGTTTTAGTTGCTTCCTTTTCTTTTATCGTAATCGACACAGTTATTTCAAATTTTCAACTCTCCACCTTAGTGATTTTGTACTGCTAGACTAATGTGAATTATCTCAGCTTGTATTGATAAACACGTTTGCGGAATCCCGTATGTTCAGAGTCTTCAAGTATCCCTCTAATAAAGTTTCCGAACAATCGGAAAAGACTGAAAACATTTCGTCTAGTTAGTATCAAATAGATAGTTACTTATTTTGTCACTAAATCTAGTGAATTTCCAGAAGCTTCTTTTAGGTCACTTACTACGCCTGTTACCTTTTGTGAAGTATAAGCCACCGACCAAGATTTTCTAACCAATTCTGTTCTGGGCTCTCCTTTCGATTCGTTCCAAAATTCCATTCAGTCTTTTGATTTCTTTCTCCGATTATCGGTGCACTGTGTTCGTTGGTCTTCCTCTTTTGCTTTTGCCTTGAGGGTTCAAAGTTAGGGCTTCACTCGTGGTTCAGTTTGACGATTTGCGTAATATGCGTCTTATCCAGCCGTAAACAAGCCTAATATCTGTACATTAGCTTAACTTTGAAGTATAGCTCCGATTATTGCTTCGCACCTTTTCTCTACTATTCGAGCTCAAAAATTCCGAGTAATATGGGAATATAGAAAACATCCAGGAAGTCGGGAGCAAGTGCTCGAGCGTTTGATCTGCCACTGTATTGTTAATTACCTCCTAATACTTGGAGTTCTGATAAGAAGCTATTAACCAGTGGAGTTCATCTGTGTCGAGTTTAGTCAAGCGATATCGTGGACTGATTCAAGTTAGACATCATAAGCGTTGGATGCCGATCCATAGGTTAACAGGTTAAGCGTTCGCACGCGAGACTAAAGTTCCTGGGTTCATGTTCCGCTTGCGGGTTCGTGGGCGCCCCCCTGATGATGAATAACGGCTGTCTAGTGCTCCGAGGTTTACAATAGTTTTCTAAAATTGATCAGTTCATAATTTCAGAGAAAGTCAACAATCTTCACAGCCCTATACTTGACAATTACCTAGATGTTTTGAATAATCTACCATCAGCATTGAAACTAGCAATTTAAGAAATCATTTATTTAAAAAAAAACTCGTAAAATACAAAATATCCCCAACAAACAACATTTTATTTCTTTTAAAAAAATATTAGGTAAGCAATTTTACACATAAAATACATATTTTTACTAAATGATGACACTGTTGTCGATTAACAGTAACTAATGATTATTTGAAAAATTTAAACAAACAGAATAAATAGCTAACAGTTTCTGCTATGCTAAATAAAAAACCTCATTTCTTTTGAAAATAAAATAGTGAACTAATTATCTGTTGACTTTGTTTTGTCGTGTATGCATCAAGCGTCAATGTGTTAGCGCGATACTACTACTGAATGATTGAAAACACCATCTGTTACACATGTTCAGTGTTCAATACCTACCTGTATGCTGTGAATGCTCATAAAGATGTGGGTGTTATTTTTACTAGACTGTTGTATTTTAAACTCTAGATTTCGCTACTTATCTCGACCTGTTCATTGAAAATAACTACTGATAATGTCAGAGGCAATAAAATGAAATCTTTCACAAGAATTATTCCTCCCTTATACACACAACAACACTTACTTGATAAATAAGAAACAAAAATGATTGAAAGTATTTTTATGCATACAGAACATTGATTGAATATTGAAAAATGTTATCTTATTGCAAGTGGATTTATTTGTAAATTAAAAAATAAATAACTGATTCTTATTTAAAAAAACATTACACATCAATGGAAAAGAAATCAAAGTCTAAAGTATAAATAATTATTTTGTTTCATTGACATCTACAGTTTTGCATTTAGAAATATATTTAATTGAAGTAATCTATTCAATGATGGATGACAAAATGACAATTAAGTTGTGTGTGTGTGTGTATGTGTGTTTGTTTAAATGTGCAACTACAAGAACACTGTTTCAGTTTTATTCTTATTTAAAAAAGGGATATCTATTAAATGATCCAATTCAATTGTCAATGAAGATTTAAAATTGTTGGGTTGATATACCTTGAATAAAAAAAAAGTTATCAAAGAAACAAAGAGTCAGTAGTTATTTGTAACGTTAAAGTAATAGCTAGCTATAATAGTGTGTTTCGTTTTATTTGTGACTCGTCAATTACATAAACATATGAATATTCATATTGAAACTTTTGAATCAAGTATCTTTATCCAACTTGTAACTACATAGTAATATTTCGTTTACATATTTAATAATTTACGCCTGTACTCCCCATTAGAGCACAGGCTATCAATCAGGATCCTCCAACTAACTCTGTTCTGGGTCTTTCATTCTTTTCATGTCTGCCTCCAACTCTTGATGAAATGTGTTCCTTTATCTGCTTCTTTTTCCCTTTACCTAGAGGATTCTATGTTAAGGCTTGTCTTGTGATGCAGTAGGGTGCTTTCCACAACGTATGTCCTTTCCACCTTTAGAGTCTTTTTCCGATTCCTTCCTTATTTGGAATCTGGTTTGTTCTCTCCCATAGTAGGCTATTGCTGATGATGTCTGGCCATCGGATCTTCAGTATGTTGCATAGAAAACTGTTTATAAATACTTGTATCTTTTGAATGGTGGCCTTCGTGGTTTTCCAAGTCTCCACTCCATACAATAGGAAGGTTTTGGCGTTCAGATTAAAAATTCTGACTTTAATGTTGTTTATTAGTTGTTTTGAGTTGCGGACGCTCTTTACTTGAAGTAATGCTGCCCTTACTCTGGTAATTTGAACTAAGTGTAGTTGATTTGATTTTTTATTCCTAATTTTTTCTCAGTCTATCATTTCAGAAACTATTCCCTTCTTCACAATCAATTTTGGCTCACTTTCACGCATAATTGTATCTTCTCATTCTACGGTGTGATATGGTCTGATATGTTCGGTATATAAACTATGTTTCAGAATATTTACACAATAAGCTGTGACATTTGATTCCATTATTCATGTAATTGTATTTTCTAAAAATCACGAGTAAATTCTACTTGTTAAGCACAATAATTTAATGATTGAAATGTTATATATGGAGTGTCCATAGTTCTCAGTTTTCTGTTTGTTTCCTTCCGATTATCGATTTTTTAACAGTTAAGTTACTATTGGTTGGTTTAAATTATTTTTGTTTTTAATCAACCAATCAAACATTTCCACATTGGCTACACTTTGACTCCAGTAGGCACCTTGACAAATTTCATTAAAAAGATAAATCCTACAGGATTTTACGCATGATTCAATCGATCGGTCCGAATCCTCGAGTGGATTCATTACCACTGGATTTCTAAATAATATTTTTGTGAAATTAATAGAAACTTTGATTGAGCAATAATGACTTACCAATTAAATAACTATCAGATATCATTCACGTTGTAGATCAACCATACTAGTCATATTGTCTAAACCAGCTTGAATGATGTCATCCAATCGATCACCTCTATCTTGTGGACTAGTCTAATAATAATAACAAAGGCATTTAGATAAAAAATAACTCAATGTCTGAAGTGTAAATTTGTACTAATCGTTGGATCATTACATAATATAAGCTCTTTATTTTTGACAAGTGAAGTTCAACCTGTTTGGATGTTGACAGTAACTACCAAAGACAAATGGGTGAGGTAGAACAAAATCTCTATATCAATCAGAGTTAGACATTAGGACTGTTGTATGCCGGCCCAGTGGTCCAGAGGTTAGGCGTTCGCATATAAGACCGAAGGTTCTAGGTTCGAATCCTATGAGGTGCAGGAGTCGTGGATGCGTACTGCCAATGATCAATCCCAAACCAGGATGAAACGGCCGTCCGGTGCTTCCAGATTTCTAATGGTGGTCAAACAATGACTGATTGATGATTTCAAATGTGTAAAATACACTAATCTTCATAACTCTAATTGAAAATATCTTAAACTTAACTTCAACTCCCAAGTTAAATATCTAATTCAAACTTAAAGTTTCAGGTCTTAATACATAACTTTATTTTACTTTCTGTGCAATGAATTCTTGTATTGTGATTAGCTACTTTTCGAGGATCATTTTAAAAACCCTCAGGTATCACACGTAAAGTTTCGTTACATCATTTAAACAAATAAATGTTCCTCTATTTTTATTTAAAATTAAGCAACAAAGTTACAATGTCAATACTACTACTACTACTACTTCTAATAATAATAATAATAATAGTAGTAATAATAATAATAGTTATATCATTCATCCTTACTGATATAATAGTTTGTAAAAATTGTGTCATTGTTTCACGGCGTATAACTTTAATCTTTTCCAATGTTGCTAAAGATTTCAACACATCTTCAATATGTCCAATCACTTGTCCCATACCATTTTCAATACGATTAACACGTTTATATAACTGCATAAATTCAGTTTGTTTTACTTCCACTTTAATTTTTGTAGTTGGTACCATTTTCGATTGACTTGTTCCAGGCAGTGTGTCTAAGTCTAATCGTTCTTCTTTAGCTAATTCCTGGACTAAAACCATCTATTCCCGTGGAATATGCATGCATGTGTGTCATTTTGAGGTGGAAGGGAAAAAAAAGTATAACAATATGGATTTAAAAAGATTAGAGAGATAGAGAGAGAAAGCAAGAAAAGCAAGTTGAACTTCATGGTTTGTGTCATGGAGTAATCAAAATAAACTATGGTATATATTTGTACTCACGGTCTCACTCCATGATTATCGATTGATATTGATGTTAATGAAATATATATCCTGTTTACTTTGTACTAATCTCATTAATAACAGCTCAGATGTGAAAAAGGTCAATTATGAAAGTAATTGTTAGGGTCGTTAGAACTCTCTTGATAAATGCCTTAATTTTGGATTTTATGTTTGCAAGCATGGGCTGATCAGTTGACCACGAGATCGTATTTCCCACGAGGAAAATCCATGGCTGTGATTAGTCACTGTGTTATTTTAGTGTGCTATTATTGTGACTGTCCCAAAGACATTTCTATGATGTATAAATAAACGCAATTTGTGTGCTTGAGATGATTGTGCTTGCTGGTTGTTTGTAGAATATACTTTCTACGCTATATCAAGACTTCTCGTTAGCTGTTTTGAGTTAATGGATCAGAGTAGCCTACCTGGAGACTGGTTCATTGTTTCGTTTGCGTTTATCGACTAAGGTGAACCCGTAATAGTTTCAAGCATACCTAGTGACGACCTTAACAGTAATTGATTACACAGATGAATGATAAAAGTAAAAAAAGGTTTGCAAGTGAACTACTAATGTGGCAGAAATCGTCAACTCAATTAAATTAAAACGTGATTCAGCTCTTATAAGTATATAATAGATAGAATATTTGAAAAAGTCTTGTTTGATCTGTGATTACATCAGGAGCAGTACATTTTCATAGAACTATTATAAAGTACAGCTTTGTTATGTTATGCTTGTCAATTGATATGCCTGAACTACTACTACGAGTTCACCTTAGTCGGTAAACAAGAGCGTAGACAAATGCTCCAGTGACTCGATAGGCTATAGTCACAAGGCCACACTAACTCTTCATATGGAGTAGAAAGTGTATTCTACAAGCACCCAGAAAATATGAGGTTCACAAACACACAAATCGAGTTTTATTATACATGATATAAACTTCCTTGAGAGAGCCACAAAAATAGCGTACTAAAATAATACATCAACCAATTACAGTCATGGGATCAATGACAATTTGAAATCAAAGAATCCATGGAGAATATATTGCTTTCAAATGATTGGCTTTCTTAACAGTCATAGTTTTAAGTCAGGATTTAATTCTAGTCTGTCTGTACACTGATCCCATTCTGAAATCTGACACCAATCCTAACCATAATGTTGTTTTAATACACGTCCAAGAATAATATCTCTCCAAAATGTTTTTACTTGAATTTATTCGCAGTCGTTTCACTCCTGTATTCACTAATAAGTGTTAGGGTATGTTGAGCATGTACGTCAAATGATATGCTTGAACTATTACGAGTTTAGTCAGTAAACAAGAGCAAGGATCGAGAATCCGGCGACACGACAAGCTACTCTAATCTGATTGCCCCAAACCCCATTGAGTAAAAGAAGAGGACTTGATCTGAAGTAGAACATGTATTCTACAAGCATCCAGAAAATACGAGGTGCGAGTCCAGGAGAGAATCAGGATCCTAAACTAGGGATCCGGGTCACAAAACGTTATAGATAATGCGTATTTATACAGTTAGGTCGAATAGGAAACAACATTGAAGTTTGTGACATTGACAGTTAGGACGACCAATCGGAAATAACATTAAAGTACGTGACATTGACAGCTAGGATTACCATAATATTGATCAGTAGGAACTGACCAATAGAATTAAACTTACAAAAATAATTCTTTTAGGATATTTGATGAATATCCTAACCGGATATAAGTATCTAATTTTATTTTCTTCACTAGAATTGTTAATACATGATTGACAGTCAAAATTATCCTAAGTACTAACTGACAAGTACTCACTCAGTGACCTTGAAGTTGCTTTCTCTTATTCAAATTAGTTGGGAACTTCAATTAAATTGAATTTATATTTATGACACATGATAGTGTAGATGGCATTAGCCTAGAAATCTGAATTCAAACAGCCAGAAAAAAAAATTGGGAATTTAATTATCACAGTAAAATATATGATAATCATGATTATTGTAATATCAAAACCATCAACTGTACAAACCTTTTGTTCTTCTAATGCAGCTTTTAATTTCAATTGTTCTGCATTTGACAAGATATTATCTTTATTTTCATCGAAATTTTCAAAGACCATTTTAATTTCTTCATCAGTAAAACCTTTGCTAATTAATTATAATATAAATAAATAAGAATTTTAATTTGAGTGGAAAAAAATTAAAGATGTCAAAATAAATAAAAAGTGATATACAACGAATTAATAGATTTTTAACCTTGAAATCATGAATGAATCATTGTTAGATCACCATTAGAAACGTGGTTGCACTGAACAGCCGTTTCATCCTAGTGTGAGACTCATCGGCACTGAGCATTCACGACTCTTGCTATTTGCAGGGTTCAAATGCAATACCTTCGGTTAGGCGTTCGCCCACAAGACCGAGGGTCCTGGGTTTGAATCCTGCAATGTGCAGGATTCGTGGATGTGCACCACTGATGAGTTTCGTACTAGGACAAAAAGATCGTTCAGTGCTTCCTGGTTTCTAATGCTGGTCTAACAATGATTGATTCATAATTTCAGTATTAAACAGCATTCTCCATAACTCTTTCAACAATATTAAGTTATCTTATCAACGCGATGATGTTTGAATTTTCTCAATCCATTTATATCATGGTAAATTATTTAATTTGAGATGATTTCACATCCTGACTATTTGTACTTAGTGCTAATTGTTGATAATAATACGTAATCGATAAGAATTCCGGTTGGAGTTATTCTCATTGTTTTCAATGTTCAACAAATCAGTTTGTGCCTTAAACGTTTAGTGAGTTTCCTAATCATCTTATAAGTGATTGCTACATACTACAACATAGAGGCTTAACCTTCAATGTATTTGTGTCTTGTATCTGTTATATTTGGTTGGATCACATTAAAGAATTCACATTACACGACTATTGATAACTTTAGATAGTTGCAATAAAAATCTGTAATGAAAATTACAGAAATACGCTCAACAAGATATAAAAGAGTGATTATTTCTTAGTTGTTTAGTTCAATGGCATTCGTTAATTGTCTTAACTAACAACTCTGTTATATCAGAACGGCGAAATGGAAGGAATAGTAACTGTCAGAATTAATTTATGGACTATTATTATATATATTCTTATTGTGTAATTTTACTGAGTAACTGAATAATTACTTATCAATAGTCCTTGTATCCTAAGCTCTTGATTGACACATTATTAACTACTGTTGTATGATTCATTATTCGTAATCTGTTGCTAGTTTACTATTCACCATTGTCTCCTCTATTAACAGTCATTTTTAACCTGTTCATATATCACTGTTATTGATTGGTTTGATACCTATACAAGTATGCGCCTGTACATAAACTATACGTGTTTGAAATAAATGATTCGATTCAATTCATCTCGAATAATGAAGGCTGAGAAGATGGAGAAAATTTGTAGCTCAGGCGGATAATTGTTATGGAGTTTCGTTCTCTGAACTAGATGTTTAGATCGTGGAGATTTCATCGCTGTTGTTCTGCTGAACAACATCATCAGCACAAACTTCAGGTAGAAGAAGTGAACTAATCGAATTTCTACACGTATTATTCGAAGCTTGTTCGGTTGACCTCGATCTTGATTGGTTGCTATTTACCTTAAACCTATCGTTGTCTGCACCTTTATTTTGATTGCATCTCTCTTCGAATACTTCAGGTTTGTGCTGGTGTTGTTGTTCAAAAGAACAATCAAAGCTCTACAACCAAAATATCCAGGTCAAAGAACGAAATCCCATCACAATAGTCGAGGGTGATTACGGATTTCTGAACTTAATGGGTAAGCCAGGAAGAGAATCCTGAATCAATAGAAACTTAGCTAGTAACTTGAGATTATTAGTGTGTACTCATATTCTGAATGGTGTTTTATTTGTATCAGGTGAAGTCAGAGAACGTGGACAGACATAACAAGGTCATTGTATAGAGGGGATAACACAATTGTTATCTTCATACATAAACTATAGTTTTCATAATCGTAAAATTCCAATCATTACACATAATTTCAATCTTAAAATGATTCTTATTTCTAAACTTAGTGATTAATTAAAAAGCAATTTGATACACATGAGTAAAATACTTGGAATTCTCAGTATAATCTGTAACTGAATAATATTACTTCTAATTAAATCGTTATCAAACTTCACATTGATACACAATAAGTTTTAAATAATACATAAATGTGAATCATTAAACTAATCAAGACTATTAATGTGCAGATTAATTCATTTGTATTGATTGTGTTGAATCTTTCCATTGATGTCAAGGACTGTAACTGATCAGTCTATTTGGTATATATGCACCCTATTCAGATTGTCTCGATATTACTGTTAAGTTACACACATTATTTGTAGAGATATTGATATGCTCGAAACTATTACGAGTTCACCTTACTCGGTAAACCGAATGAAGATCAACGATACAGTGATGACACGATAGGCTATTCCAAAACCGATTGTCCCACGCCCCACTAACTAGATCAAGAAGTTTTGATAAGGAGTAGAGAATGTATTCTACAGGCACCCAGAAAATACGATGTCCACCAGCACACAACTCAAGCTTATTTATAAAATGGTAGAAACGCTCTTGGGAGAGCCACAAAAATAGCTTACTGATCTGATGGATTATGACAGTCAAGGGATTTGCGAGTGGGAAATGCAAGCTGAAGGTCAACTAGGCGTTTTTGGCGCGAAAACAATGAAATTCAAAATTTTAGAAATAAATTACAAAATGAAGACCTTTTCCAAATGAGTTCTGGAGATCTGAAGTCCCCAACAGATAGATAGCGTCTAGCTATAGAATCTAGGATACATGTTTCGTCATACTTAGGACTCACTCATCAGCTGAATTTATTTGCATCCCTAATGTTAAGGCAATCCATTCATACAGGTTGCAAATATGTCAAACAGACTGATTAATCGCTGTTCTACATATTAATGAGAGGATTCAAATAACCAATACAAATGAATTATTCTTTATTTCACTAAACTAACGAGTGGCGATAAGTTTTATGTTTAAATGGGTGGTATGGAGTTCGTTTAACTTTCTTTTTTCTTAAATTATCTTATTAACTTACGTTTTCAAATGTCTCCATAATTCATTATATTCTAATTTGCCATCTTTATTAAAATCAGCTAATTCCATAGCTTTTTGAATATTTTCAATTCGTTTCTTTTTAATTTTTAATTTTTGTAACATATTTCTCATTCTCTAAAGGTTATATACATAAATAATTGAAGACAAAGAGACAGAGAGAGAGTTGGGGTGTATGTGCGTGAGAGAGAGAAAACAAGCATGAAAAAAAATGACAATTTTAATTGTGCAATGAAAATTTGACACATTTTCAACATTTGAAATCGATCAAAGTTAGACGATCACCATTAGAAACCGGGAAGCACTGAAAGACGGCTATTTCGTCCTGGTATGGGAATCATCATTGGCGCACATCCATAACTCCTGCACCTCGCAGGATTCGAACTCAGGACCTTCGGTCTTATGTGCGAATGCCTAACCTCTGGACAACTGAGCATCATATGAATATTTTAAAAATTGATTCAGTTTGAGGATGATTTTATCAGATATTTGATGTAATATTGGATTCTAGTGATGATAGAGAAATTACTTTCAATGTTCAATGTTAGTGAACATTGAGTCATTTGCAGATGTGAATGCTTGGATTGGCAAAGCAAGGGCAGCATTTCTATGATTACACAATAGCTGGAACTCAAAACAACTATTAAAAAAACACTTAAATCACGGTTTTCAATAAAAATATCAAGACAGTTCTACTGTATGGAGCGGAAACTTGGAGAACTACAAAAGCCATCATCCAGAAGTGACAAGTGTTCAGAAACAGATGTCTACGCAAAATACTTCGGATTCGTTGGCCAGATACCATCAGTGACAACATACTGTGGGAGAGAACAAACCTGATTCCAGAAAAATCACTATAGGTGGACGGGAAACATATTGAGAAAACCACACAATCGTGTAACAAGACAAGTCCTCATTTCGGATATTGAAGACTAAAGAATTGGAGACTGACATGAAAATAATGATCAGTATTTGGATAGAACTAGAAAGGAAGGTCCAGGACAGAGTAGGTTGGAGAATGATTGTCAATGGCTTATGTTCCTTAGGGGATAACAAGCGTAAGCACGTAAGCGTAGGTTGTGATTGATTAGTTGGTAAAGACTGAATAAAATTCAAAAGTTTGATGAGTAACATTCATTATGTAGTCAATTGATCTATGAACTCATTAGCTTAATGATTAATATTAAACAGTATTTAACAACCTACAGTAGGTTTTAAATAAATTCAAACTGTAGTGAACGATAACACAGGTGAGGGCAACCGAATTGTATTTAACCAAAATTACAGAGTTACTCAGTAAAATCGGAAAACCATATCGTAAATCGTTCATTTGCAAAATATCAGTTCATCATATCGAACTGGACTGTTCCTGTTGCAAAACATCAACAATCCATTGTCACTCACTATTCATGTGTTTCATACACAAATTCCATTGTGTTCTTCTAACTCTTCCTTTCTTGATCTTCCCTCATCTTCTGCTGTCACCACACATTACGTTGACACTCACGTTATATACTACTTATAAGTAGCTCACATCACAAAACTTTTGTCAGCAAATTGTTAAATGTGCAGCATCATTTCAACTGGACCATTAATTATCCTTGAAAAGTTTGAATTCATTTCATTCAATATTCAAATAATATTCAATACTTAAAACAAACAAACAAACATACAAACAATTGATTACTTACATCTTTAAGAAAATCTTTCATTTCAAATTCATTTGGTTGTTTTTCTAAATCTGATTTTACTGATGAATAAGTTTCATTGATTATTGCAATAAACATATTAATGAGTACAAAAAACACAAAAAATACATAAACAATAAAATAAATTGGACCAAACACTCTATTGGCTGTTTCCAATGCATTAAAATCAAAATCACCCAAGATAATACGAAATAGTGTATAACTAAAAAAAATTAAAACAAAAAGAAAAACACAATAAACAATAGAGAATAAAATTCAAAAGTACAGTTGATTCAATGTTCAAAAAATTAACCAATTAAAAGGAAACCATGTTTAATTGCTTCAATGTTAATTGAATTCATTTCAATATTTACAAATGGCGGAGACTTTTGAATGAATTGTTAACCAATCAGAAAGTAGTTTTTTAGTTATAAAACAATAAACAATAAAAGAGGATTATTAAAATTATAATAGCTAATTTAATTTTGACCTGATTAACAAATGGTTTTATATGGATAAATTGAAAAGAAGTTTAGTTAGGGATTGAGAACTACAATAGGATTAGTGTTAGGAGTTTAGTTATTAAGAGTTGAAGTTAGGATGGAAGAATATTTTTCAGAGAAGAATTATATGGATAGTTCTTCAGGTTCAAAGCTCTTAAGATTTTCAGTTTCCTAGAATAATTCATAAATCATGTTAGAAAATTATACAAGAGGGACTTGAAATGATCACATCAACACTCCTGACCATTCTCTTCAAAGAAGCATAGACCTCTGACTAGCTTTCTCTAACCTACTCTGTCCTGGACCTTCCTTTCTAGTCCTATCCAAATACTGTTTATTCGTTTCATGTCTGATTCCAGTTTATGGCGGTGGTGTGTTCGATGGCCTTGAGGGTTCCAGTTGGGTACTTACCTCAACGTGTGTACTATCTTCTTCTGGCGTTCCCTCCTGACTTCTTCCTCTGCTGGAATCTGGTTTGTTCTTTCTTACAGTAAGTCATTGCTGATGGTATTTGATCAACGAATCCTCAGTTTGTTGCATAGATAGCTGTTAATAAACCTAGTGGATGATGGCTTTCGTAGTTCGTCAAGTTTCCGCCTCATACAGCAGAACTGTCTTGACATTGGTTTTGAAAATTGTGACTTTGGTTTTGGTTGATAGCTGTTTTGAGTTCCAGGTGTTCTGCCATTGTAGAAATGCTACCGTTGCTTGCTCCACATATCTGTGCCCTCTCATCTGCATCAGATCCACTTTGCTCATCAATTTTGCTTCCCAAATATGTAAAGGCCTTAACATCTTCCAAAACGTCTTTGTCACGAGTGATCCGGTTTACGCATGTTGTGTTGTATCGGAGAATCTTGCTTTTGCCTTTGTGTATGTTAAGACCTACTGCTGCTAAGGCTGCTTCTATACTGGTCGTCTTCCCTTGTATTTGTTGTTGCATGTGTGATAGTAGAGCCAGATCATCTACGATGTCTAGATCGTTCAGCTACGTCCTAGTTATTCACTGTTGTCCATTCTCTGAATAACATCAAGTGTACTGAAAGAGTATTAAACCTTTGAGAAAGAAAGTTTTGGTAATTAGAGAGCTCCAAACAATTGTTTCATCTTAAGTTTAAGTTCACCGGAAGTGTGTTCATTCGTTAGATCAGAGACATGATCGGAAGTACATTTTTCAGATCTTAAAATTTTAATATTCTACTGCAATACTAAATTAAAATAAAAGTTAGCAGTGTAAAATTCAGTTTAATATGAACAGTTGGATTCTAGTTGAAATGACCTGTTAACTGTGATCTAATGACATTAGTGCTATCACAGAAGTATTAAAAACTGATAATTTCTACGAGTCTACTCATGTCATATCTCTCTATGATCACAGGCCGGTTCAAGATCAACTTGAAGGTTACAGATTAAAACCGAAGCCCTCTATTGAACTATATCAGTTATACACTACTTAGTCAAGCTCCAAAGCTATTTGTCCTCATATAGATTGATAAAAATGACTTATGCTTAAATTACTGAATTTTTCCGATTAAGCTTTCGTAGTTATCTTTTCATCTTCTCATTGTTGTTCCTAGTTGAACGGACATTTAAGAAGCATTTATTTCAATTTAATTGAAAATTGAATAAAATCGCAAAACAAAAACTTGAATCAACCAGTGTTAGACCACCATTATAAACTCGGAAGCACTGAACGTCCGTTTTAGTTTTAGTATGGAACTTTCCAGAAGTGCATCCACGACCCGCATTCACGAAAATTGAAGCCAAGACTTTCGGTCTCGCTCGTGAGCGCTCAACTTCTAAATCAGTGGACCGGTATCCAACGGTGTCTATGTCTAATTTGAATAATTCTAAGGTTTTGCGCAAACTAAGGTGTAGGCAATAGGTGAGGTTGTACAGTACCTTGGATTGATTAAAGTTAGGTGCTTGTGCACGAGACTGAAGGTCCTGCGTTCTACTCCTTCAAGTAGCGGGAGATATGGATGCGCACTGTTGAAGAATCCCACACACTAAGACAAAACGTCCATCTAAACACTGCTTCCAGGTTTCTAATCCTGGTCTAACAATCATGGATTCATGATATCAATCATAAACATTCATCTCGATGACTTCTAATAATGAATGACAATGTATTTATAACAGTAAAGAAAATTATTATCAACTTACACAACTGTAATAAATGAACTAAAATCTTTAGCTTGTGTACCAAATGCAAGATAACCAAGTTGGGCAAATGAAAAGAATACAATAAAGAACATGATTGCAAAACCAGCTAAATCTTTTGCACAACTACCAAGTGTTGAACTTAATTGTGTCATTGTTTTATTAAAACTAATATATTTAAATAACTGTAGAAAGAAGAAAATAACAGAAAATGAACATTGAACATATTCAATAAATAATTAGATAAATAATTTTTAAAATAACATTATGGGATTGTTAAGATTGTTAAGTTACACACATTTGAAATCATGAATCGATCAATGTTAGATCATCAAGGAGATCATCATGGAGAATGAAATCCAATGGACCAATAATTGCACTATTCTACGGTAGGCCGAAACTACGTAAACCTAACATTCCACTACGTCCTATTGTATCCCCTCCCCGGAACCCCGACCTACAACTTATCAAGAGAAATTTCAGGGATATTAAAACATCTGGTGGATGAATCCAACTACTCCATTAAATCTGCCACACAATTATTGGATAAACTCAAGGGGATTCAAATTGACAACGACGAAATGATGTTATCCTTCGACGTAACAGCCTTATTTACCTCAATAGAGCCAAGCTTAGCTAAAGAAACTCTTTCTCTGCTCCTCATCAACGACACAAATCTACACAAATATACAAAGCTTCAGAGTCAAAGTTTGCTTGAACTCATCGACCTATGCTTAACAACGTATCTTCAGTTCAACAACAGAGTCTACGAACAAATAAAAGGAACACCAATGGGATCACCAATATCAGGACTCATCGGCGAAGCTGTAATGCAGAGACTGGAAGCGTCGATCTTGCCAATGATCAAACCAAAAATGTGGGTCCGCTACGTAGACGACACATTCGTTATTATTAAAAGGAATGAGCTGGAGAACATCTACAATCGGATCAACAACGTCTTTGATGACATCAAATTCACGATGGAAAAGGAATCAAACAACAGTTTATCATTCCTGGATATACTAATCACCAGGACTAACACAGAAAAACTAGAAACTCAAGTATTTCGGAAGCCAACCCACAAAGACGTACTTCTCAACTACGACAGCAAAAACCCAAGAACCCACAAGATTAACTGCATACAAACTTTGTTCAAGAGAACGAAGACACACTGCAGCACATACGAAGCATTAAAAAACGAGGAAAAACACCTGATGACTATCTTCCAAAAGAACGGCTATCCACGCAACTTCATCAAAAAACACCAACCGAAACCATCATCAGAAGCGAAATCAAGCACAGGAACAAATAAACGCATCATCCTACCATACATCAAAGACATATCGGAACATACGGCACGACTACTGAAACCATTTGGAATAGGTGTGGCACACAAACCAACAGAATCACTTCAACCAATCCTATGTAGACCAAAGGACAAAATGACAAAGGAAGAAAAACCAAATACCATCTACAAAATAAATTGCTCAGATTGTAAAAAACACTACATAGGACAAAGTGGACGGCCTCTCCAGCTTCGTTTACGTGAACACCAATTAGCATTCAAACGCCACGACAACTCTTCGCTTATGTCAATACATACCGACAATTATGGGCATGCATTTGATTGGGACAATGTGGAAATACTGGATAGGGGGAAGACACTAACACTAGAAGCATGACACTCAAGTCATTAGCAATCAACAAACACATCGACATTGACCCAATTTATCAACCAATCAAAAAAATCATAGGGGACATAGGATCAAAAAACAGTTCAAAAAGAGGATACAATCAAAACAAAGTGCAAACAACGACAGGTCAACAACAACCAATGAAGATCGAGGTTAGCTTCACTTCTATCTGAAGTTTGTGCTGATGATGTTGTTCAGAAGAACGATGAAAACCCCACAACCAAAACAACCAGCTCAGAGAATGAAACGCCACCAGAATCATTGAAAAGCTGGTTCGTGCTAGTATAGACTTATTCAGAAATGTGTACCAATGATCTCATTGAAGAATGAATCTAGAATTTGCCATCTAACAGGTAGCATTTAGGTCTCTAAGCTATCATCATCCATATCAGAACAAAACAATTGTACAATGATTCGTTTTTCTTATATTTGAGTAGCTGTTTGACTTTGATCAATCAAGTATGTAAATCATTGAATTTCTATTCAATAAGATATTGTAAATGAATTTCTGTGAATTCTGTCTTCTCGTTTTCATGATATGTTCAGAGTGCAGAGTAAACAGATATAAGAAAAATGATGATGTATATGATTTAAGCGCGTATGAAAACTAAGCAACCTTGTTTTGAATTACATGATAAAATGTAGTATGGATGACTGAGCTGGATAATCTTGTTGTTATCAACTTCCCTGAGATAAATAGTTTAATTATAGAACTATCGATGTCATCTTGGACATTTCCATCCATGCCTATTTCATGTAGAATTAAGCTTTATATCTTTTCCTCAAACGTTAAATCGGCTAGTTGAATTGTCATTGCTTCTGGTCGTACAACTTCGTTGGTTACATGTCATGTCTCGTTTGGTTGACCGTATGGTTGAATGACCTATTTTCGTATAGGTTGTTTTTTAGATCGAATCTATAAAAATGTGTCCACTGGTTACCGATTTATGGAATTCCGAATTAGAAATCTTTTGACATTCTTAGAATTTTCAATAACTAAACCGATGAAGACAAGCAATTACAGATAAATCCGTGCAGGACAACAACTAAAGCCTTCTTGATTCAATCAATTAGTTCAATAAAACCAATGAAACAGTTAAAATTGTGAGGAAGTTCTTACAAACTGCCTTACAGTTTGTCACAATAACTAATCACTGATCAATTTCATAATATTGTTACCAATGTATTCCAATGATTCTTTGATAATTACTTTTCTCATTGAGTAGCAGTATGAATCAGTGGAATAAGTAGTGTGAACTATGAGAAGAATGTTGATGATGATCATTTATGTCAGTTAATTGACTACTTCAAGAACTTTGTTGTAAGAGGGGTTTACAAGCTTTAAGTATTATGGAGTCCAGGAACTGACTTACTGTTTAAATAGCTGTGAATATCTAGCGTACTTCTATGTTACACAATGTTAACTCAAAAAGAAACAGATTGATAAAAAGAGGTGTGAATAGACAGATAGATTATAATATGAGGTTTCCTTTGCTTCCCATTTTGATCCTTCTCGCAAGTTACAAATACTTTATTTAAGAGTAGTAGAATAGTCATAATCCGTAATTCGAAACGATGGACAATAATGGCACAGATAAATTCATTATCTATTTCTTTTCTGTTCTCGCAGATTTCAAGTCTTAAGATTACTTACAATTTTCCACATATAATTTTATTTCGCCTAGAAAATGGTTGAGATATCTAACAATTCATTGGAAGTTTTTTTTCAAGGATTGTTATCAGATTATAGGTATCAGTTAAACAAGAAAAAACATGCAAATGAGAGTTTTGAGAGATGAACAACTGAGTTAGATCCGAATATTAGGCTCACCATTTTGTAGTTGTTATTTGATTGAAATGATAAAGATAAATGATACTAATGAAGCATAGATCGTTATTACATTGGATATACTTTCTTGAATCATCAACTCATCAGGAGCCAAAATACCGCTGTTTCAGATAAGCTTCTCAAGCATTCTTATATGATCAGAAGACAAACAATGTGTGATTAGTTGAGGCCTTAAGATCGGTAATCTACTAGCTGACAGAAAAAGAAGCATGACTCAGATGGAGATAGATTGACAGACACACATAGTATTACACACACACACACACGGATAAAATCGATCAAGGTTAAGAAGAGTGGATAATTAACAAGGTCAACTATTTGAAAGTGCACGGAATAATCAATAAAAAAATTAAAATGATTCATTTTTCCAGAATCATGAATAATTTGCCTAACGGTGTGACGAGAATCACTACAGTCCAGTCAAATAAAAATTTCAACAGCGAACTATGATCTTATTTTATTTAGAAAAGTAATCATTTCAACATAGATCAGTAGAATAAAACAATAATAATAATAATAATAATAATAATAATAATAATCTAAATTAACTCACTTTAACCCAAGCTAGAAATACAGTAATTGATATAGCCATATTGAAATTTACTTGCCATATACTTAACATTTGAAAATTAGCAAATTCATTTGGATTTTGTAATATGCCCTCAAGTAAATTGATGACACTTATTGTACGATAAATATTGAATGCACCACAAACAATACTTATAATAATGATAATAATATCTAAACAATTCCATACAGATAAGAAATAAATCCATCCTTGTTTTTTGATCTATATTTTGGTAAATAAAATATATAAAACAGAGTAAAATAATCATTTTCTCTCTTTCCAGTTGATATTTACTGGAAATATATAATAATAACAATTTAAATACTTAAATTAATGATAAAACTGATTATTATCTTGATCAGTTGAAGTGGTTGGAGTATGTGTTACGAATGACCAACCATCGACTGCCAGACCGAGCTATGTTTTGTGGTGTAAGAGTAAGTTGGAAGAAAGCTAAGGGTGGCCAATCCGAAATATGGCACAAATTCATGAAGTCGCTGACTTCTGGACTGTACCATGTTTGTAAGTGTAGACTACAAGATTGGGGTACGCGAAATAATAGTAACCTATGGCTAGAGACCTTGAATGACATGGCTCAAATTCGTTTGCAATGATGCAGGTGCATCCACTTTTTGTGTTCTATGAAATTCTAATCTTCTGAATCCCTCATCACCTCTATATTTCTCTTTTTAAAGTTTTGTCCCTGAATTATACTTCTTGAATAATATCTTTGAACCCTAGTCTTTTCCCTTACCGCTAATACCATTATGAGATTAGAACTAACAATTGTTTCTCTGTGCTTATTTGGTATGGCAACCTGAACTGATGATGTACGTATGTACGAAGTTCGACGTTGTAACAGACTGACTGCTTATTATCTAGGTAGTGTAAATTAGTATTTGGCTAGCAGTGGAATCATTCAAGATATGCATTTCATCTGATTTTGCGATTCGTTGTTATTTGATTGGATTAAGTGAATCCAATGTTGTTATTTACGCTGAGATTTAAACTTAGTATCATTAGTTCAGTGGATAGTTCGTTTGAGTATTTGTAGTAAAAGGTACTGGGCTCGAAAAAACACCTAGACATTAATAATGAAGTACAGTAGGTATGTCCATTTGTCAAGTCTCAACTACGATAAACTCCGTTATCCAGATTCCTATACTGACCACATATCAAATATGCTAAAAGTTCTGGATATAGTATGATATAATATGGCAATTCTCTCAGAATAGGCATATCACAACAGAAACCGATCAAAAGTTTTTATGAATGATAAGTAAGGGATATTACAATTGCCTACTAAAATCATGTAGATAACTTGGATTATGAAAAGAATTTAATTTAAACATTGGAAATCATGAGACATTGATTCATATAAATTTGTGATTGCTTAGTTATTAGTATCAATGTCTCAAACATGAACTGAATACAAAATCTACATAACTGGGGATGAGTTAAGCTGACCTTAAACTACTATTTCTCAATGTTTTAGTCAAAAGTCATAAAAATGGTCAAATTCGATCATGTTCAGAGTGTGGTATTCAATCGAATCAACGCAATTGTAATTGACTGGAATGATCTCATTCATCGCATTACCTCAGCATCGTCCTAATCACCTTGGATTCCGTTACTATAAAAACAGACACATTTGTATTACGGGGTTGTGAAGATTGCTAAGTTACACATTTTTGAAACCATGAATCGATCAATGTTAGACCACCATTAGAAACCCTGAAGTACTGGACGGCCGTTTCGTCCTGGTATGGGACTCCTCAGCAGTGCGCATCCACGACGGTTAAAGCGTTCGCGCACAATACCGAAGGTCCTGGGCTCGAATCCTGCGGGGTGCAGGAGTCGTGGATGTGCACTGCTGAGGAGTCCCATACCAGGACGAAACGGCCGTCCAGTGCTTCCAGGTTTCTAATGGTAGTGGTCTAACATTGATCGATTCATGGTTTCAAAAAAGACACATTTGTGTTATTTCAAACTAACTTAAGTTTGAAAATTGTGTCCAAAAATTACTCGGAGAAATATGGTTGCAACTTAGTAAGAACCCAAAATATAACAGTACATTATAAACTCTGTGTTAATAGGACATAGATTGAGTTAAAGCATGATTGCGTTGTTGCACGTTGATTGGCTCTTTCATATCCAATCAGCGCTAGCCGATAGTGAAAGAACATTCTAGAATCTTCTCAAATAAAAACTATAAGTGTAGTGCATAAGAACACAGGTGGGGCAACCGAATTGTATTTAACGAAAATTACAGAGTTACTCAGTAAAATTGGAAAACCATATCGTAAACCGTTCATTTGCAAAAGATCAGTTCATCCTATGGAACTGGACTGTTCCTGTTGCAAACAACATCAATCCATTGTCACTATTCATGCGTTTCATACAAATTCCATTGTTTTCTAACGCTTCCTTTCTTGATCTTTCCCCCATATTATGCTACCAGACTTTATGTTGACACTCACGTTATATACTACTTATAAGTAGTTCGCACCACAGCACCACATAAGTACACTAATGTTGTGAAACATCAGTTTTCCTCTTAACCTTGTTATTGGAATATAATCTCTATATCCTATTCAGTCGTGTTCTGATTTTGGGAGAACGCCTAGAGTGAATTAGTGTCCGAGAATACTAAGCATTAGTAATAATAGCTGAGTTGTAATCAGAGAGAGAGAGAGAATTATAACACTCTATTAAATACTGTTCATTTATATATTCATCAAAACAATCATCAACATAGAAGACTATGATAGAATTAATTATTTACTCACTTCCATAATTTCTTCAACTATATAATAAGCAATAAACGCTAAGAATGCACATTCACATGCTAATACAAAATAATCAAATGGTGTTACATAACGCAACAATTTAACTGATCTAAAATCACTATTAAGGATTAAACTTCCTGATGCAGGAACTTCAATAACAATTCTAAAATTTGAAAAGAAGAAGAGTTAATTAAAAAAAGACTATGTATGTAAAAACTCATTTACAAATCATTAGGAAGAAAGCAAGTATTAGACAATTGTCTTAGGATACCTCTCACAATTATTCCAGGGAAAGAATGCAAGATCTGAAAGCCTATTCGATAGCTTCTATTAGCTTTTACTAACTTGTACATCTAACGTCGCAAGTGGAATGACCTTTTCCAAACAAAGTATGAGCACATTGTTCAATAATCCATTCTTCACTACTGTGTGACTATGAGACATGATTGTTTCCAATAGTAGAATGAATGTACGAGCTGCAGAGATTTGATCATATATGATTCTGAAACAATGTTTATCTATCACGGAAGGATTAAGTGAACAATGTTGAAGTTAGTAGATACCAATGGTAAATTGGTTGATGAAGAGAAGACTTTAGGTGTTATCACACAGAATCGCTCACATCGAAGTGCATGCATTCAATCTTTGTATTCCTCTCAATCTTGAATTTCAGAATCCTTCCCTATATACATTAGAACTGTCATATGAAACAATATTCCTGAGGTTGAATATATCTTTTCGATTTTTTTCTTATTTTTATTGTTAATTTCGTACCATTATGTCGACTGGTCTTGATAATTACAGTCAAAGTACTTCTGTGTTAGACGCTATGCTAATTATGATTGACTGTGTTGGAATCCACTGTTTTATATTTCAAACTTCATTCAGTTCATAGCATAGAACGGAAACAATCAAGGACTGTTGGCTAGATTCCTTCTTTTTCAATAGCCTATCTACATCGATTAAAACTTCTCAAATAAACTTGAGAAACCCAAGTTGAATCAGTTCACTAGTGAACATTGAATAATTGTGTTACAAATGCACTTAAACACGTCATTTGATATGCTTGAACTATTACGAGTTTACCTTGGTCGGAAAACGAGAACGAGGTTCGACGATTCGGCGACAAAACATGCTACTCTAATCCGATTGTCCCAAAACCCGATCTGGTAAAAGAAGAAGACTGGATATGAAGTAGAATATGTTTTCTACAAGCATCCAGAATGTACGAGGTTCGAGTTCAGATTAGGATAAGGACCCCGGACTAAGGAACAGGGTCCGGGTTATAAAATGTTACAGATAATGCGTATTTATACAGTTAGGTCAAATAGGAACAACATCGAAATCTGTGACATTGACAGTTAAGATGACCAATAGGAAACAGCATTTCAAGTGACATTGATAGTCAGGACGACCATAATATTGACCAGTAAGAATTAACCAATAAGAATTTACCAGTAATTCTCTTAGGATATTGGATGAATACCCTAACAGATTGTCTGATTATATTACTATATATCTCATTTTAAATTATGCGAAAAAAATACAGTTTCCGTAAAACAATTACACTTTTCTTTTGTCATTCTAATTTCAACTTACTCAACTACAGAGAATAAATTCATATTTGCATTATATGTTGTAAAATGTATGAATAAAACTCGAGTTCCTCTATCTAACCATAAATTTTGAAATAAACTATCCAATTGACGTGCTGCTTCAGTTTGATCACGTGATAAATCTTGATAATATCCTCCACCTCCATAAGTACTCACTGTACCCCAATACGAATACATACCTAATTCGTCAGATGATGTATATGTCCAACTGTAAAACAATGAAGATTATGTAAAGATTATTTTTTAGCAATTAAAATAGCCATATTTCAAAGTTCTTGAATTGCTATGCTTGAAATTATTACGAGTTCACCTTAGTCGGTAGAAAAGAGCGGAGACAAAGTATCTAGTGATACGATAGGCTACTCTAATCTGAGTGTCCCAAGGCCCCACTAAGTAAAGGAAGAAGTCTTGATATGGTGTAGAAAGTGTATTCTACAAGCATCCAGATAATGTGAGGTCGACAAACTCACAAATCGAGTTTTATTACATCATAGAAACGTCCTTGGGAGAGCCAAAATATTATAATATAATAATATTTTAATAACTCCGCCAGTAGAAACTTAGGGGATACTGCCGGTCCCAAGCTCGGGTAAAGGAGGAGAGTTGGACATGAGGTTGGCGACCCCATTCCGTCGAAATCTAACTTGCCAAAAAACGCTAACCAGAAAAATAATCCAAACCATTTTAACTCTGCTCTGGGAGTTGCAAGAAGAATTATGGCGTCACGTGATGAAAGCCGAGTTCCCTCGGAAGTCACGAGGCCGATGCCTCTTCTGACAACCAGAGGTGCAGAGCAAGCATTCTTTTGGGTACATAGAACGTTCGTACATTGTGGGAGACTGGAAGACTATTTCAAGTTACGGCAGAAATGAAAAGATACAACCTCGAGGTGCTTGGAATCAGTGAAACGCATTGGACACAAGTAGGACAACTGAGACTAGCTTCAGGGGAACTGCTGTTATACTCTGGTCATGAAGAGGAAAATGCTTCACATACACAAGAAGTTGCACTGATGCTGTCCAAACATGCAAAAAGGCACTGATAGGATGGGAATCTCATGGACCCAGGATCATTAAAGCATCCTTCAAAACAAAGAAACAGGACATTACAATGAACGTCATCCAATGTTATGCACCTACCAATGACTACAATGACGACGATGAAGATCAATTATACGAAAGGCTGCAGTCAATCGTCGAGAAATGTTCACCAAAGGATTTGACGATTCTTATGGGAGACCTGAATGCCAAGGTTGGAATGGACAACACTGGATATGAAGACATCATGAGACGACATGGACTGGGAGAAAGAAACGAAAACGGTGAGAGATTTGCAAACCTATGTACCTTCAACAAACCGGTCATCGGTGGCACAATATTCCCGCACAAACGCATTCACAAAGCCACATGGATTTCAACGGACCACACTACTCAAAACCAAATTGACCATATCTGTATCAACAAAACGTTCAGAAGGACTATGGAGGATGTGAGAACCAAGAGAGGAGCTGATATAGACTCAGATCACCACTTTCTGGTAGCCAAATTGAAACTGAAACTAAAGAAGCACTGGACAACGGGACAGACAACATCACAGAAGTTTAATATGGCCTTTCTTCGGGATACCGTAAAACTCAACGAATTCAAGATAGCCCTCACCAATAGGTTTCAGGCCTTTCAGGATCTACTCAATGGAGAGGAAGCAACATTGGAGAACAATTGGAAAGGGATTAGGGAGGCAATCACTTCAACATGACACGAAGTTCTGGGTCACAAGAAGTATCATCACAAGGAATGGATCTCTGTTGGTACTCTTGCAAAAATTGAAGAAAGGAAGAACAAGAAGGCAGCAATCAATGTCAGCCGAACAAGAGCAGAGAAAGTTACCGCACAAGCTGCATACACAGAAGCAAACAGGGAAGTGAAAAAGAGCATCAGGGGTGACAAACGAAAATATGTGGAAGATCTAGCAATGACGGCAAGATAAGGAAACTTGAGACAATTGTACGAAACAACAAAGAAGCTAGCTGGAAACCGTCGTAAACCAGAACGACCAGTGAAAAGCAAGGAAGGCAAAGTAATCAGCAACACTGAACAACAGCGAAATAGGTGGGTAGAGCACTTTAAGGAACACCTGAATCGACCAGCTCAACTGAACCCACCCAACATCGAAGCAGCATCCACGGACCTCCCAATTAATATTGGCGCACCTACAATTGAGGAGATCAGTATGGCCATCAGACAAATCAAGAGTGGCAAAGCAGCAGGACCAGACAACATTCCAGCAGAGGCAATGAAAGCAGATGTAGAAGCAACTGCGAAAATATTTCACATCCTCTTCAAGAAGATTTTGGGATGAGGAACAAGTACCATCAGATTGGAAAGAAGGATACCTGATCAAAATACCAAAGAAAGGCGACCTGAGCAAGTGTGAGAACTACAGAGGCATCACTCTTCTTTCTATACCAGGCAAAGTCTTCAACAGGGTATTGTTAAACAATGAAGGACTTCGTAGACGTCCAACTTCGAGATCAACAGGCCGGATTTCGTAAGGATCGATCGTGTACTGACCAAATTGCAACATTACGGATCATTGTGGAACAATCAATTGAATGGAACTCACCACTCTACATCAACTTCAGTGACTAAGAGAAAGCATTCGACGGCGTGGATAGGAAAACACTGTGGAGGCTCCTCCGACACTACGGTGTGCCTGAGAAGATAGTTAACATCATACGGAATTTTTATGATGGATTCAACTGCAAAATCGTACACGGAGGACAGCTGACAGACTCTTTCGAGGTGAAGATCGGTGTCAGGCAAGGTTGCTTACTCTCACCCTTTCTCTTTCTCCAGGTGATCGACTGGATTATGAAGACGTCGACATCTGGAGGGAAGCATGGTATTTAGTGGACAGCTAGGATGAAGCTGGACGATCTGGATTTCGCAGATGAACTGGCTCTTCTGTCGCACACGAAACAACAAATGCAAGAGAAGACGACCAGTGTGTCAGCAGCATCCTATGCAACAGTAGGTCTCAATATACATAAAGGAAAAAGCTAAATTCTCCGATGCAACACAACATGCACCAACCAAATCACTCTTGATGCAGATGCCTTGCAGGACGTCAACACCTTTACATATCTGGGCAGCATCATCGACGAGAAAGGTGGATCGGATGCAGATGTGAGGGCGCGGATTGGCAAAGCGAGGGCTGCATTTCTACAGTTGAAAAATATCTGGAACTCCAAACAACTTTCAACCAAAACCAAAATCAGGATTTTCAATACAAATGTGAAGACAGTTCTACTGTATGGAGCGGAAACTTGCAGAATTACCAAAGCCATCATCCAGAAGATACAAGTATTTATTAACAGTTGTCTTCGCGAAATACTTCGGATTCGTTGACCAGACACCGTCAGCAACAATGTGCTGTGAGAGAGAACAAACCAGATTCGAGTGGAAGAGGAAATCAGGAAGAAGCGGTGGGAGTGGATAGGACACACACTACGAAAAGCACCTAACTGCGTCACAAGACAAGCCCTCATTTGGAACCTTCAATGCGAAAGGAAAAGAGGAAGGCCAAAGAATACATTACGCCGAGAAATAGAGTAAGATATGAGAAGAATGAACAAGCATTGGACAGAACTGGAAAGGGGAGCCCAGAACAGACAGAGTTGGTTGGAGAAAACTGGTCGGCGGCCTATGCTCTGTTGGGGTTAACAGGCGTAAGTAAGTAATTAAGTAAGTATATAATATTTTAATATCAACCAATGACAGTGAAGGATATTCCTGGTGGGAAATATAATCTCAAGGTCAACCGATAGGCCCATGAATAAAACCCAAAATTAGGACCTTTATCAAGTGAGTTCTGTGGATCTAACATCCCCAGCAGCTTTCATTCATAAAAAATAGTATACTAATGCTACTAATATCACGACTTCTGTAAGAAGAAAACAGTTCCAGATGAAGTACATGGATGACGAAAGCACAGTTTGTTTTTAAAATATATACTCTTCGTCTTCAATCATCTATTTGCCTGTATTGTGTTTTCTTCAATCTATACAGGTTATAGTCTTTTCCTTCTCTCGACCCAATTCCGATCTACAAAGTATCGTGAATACGCTTTACTCTTGGTCTACTGAAACTTGTATCTTAAGTGTGTAGACTTAAGTTACTTCTGGAAGACATTCAGTTATATCAGGCATATAACCAAATACTTATAAACACATGGATGGTATTATCTGAATATATATAGAAACAGGAACTTTCAAATCTGATTGAAAGCCTATTACTCACGTATAAAGTTAATGAGTTGAAATACAGCTAGTTCATATTTTGAATGATAGTCAATTAACTTGATCTGTCGCTATCATGGAAACGTTAAATTTCAGATGATTTTAACCCAGTATGGAACTCCGAGAGAGATGCGTATTCGTGATTCGGTCAAGTGGGTTAACACAGTACTAATAGGTTAGGGGATGACTGCTTACTTACTTACTTACGCCTGTTACCACGCCCCCAATAGAGGAGCATAGGCCGCCCACCAGTTTTCTCCAACAAACTCTGTCTGTCCTGGGCTTCCTTCTCCAGTTCTGTCAAATGTTCGTTGATTCCTCTCATATCTTTCTCTATTTCTCGGCGTAATGTATTCTTTGGCCTTCCACTTTTCCTTTCGCATTGAGGGTTCCATGTGAGGGCTTGTCTCGTGACGCAATGTGTGTGTCCTATCCACCAACTCCACCACTTCTTCCTAATTTCCTCCTCCACTGAAGGAATCTGATTTGTTCTCACACACAGTACATTGTTGCTGATGCTGGCTGGCCAACCAATCCGAAGTATCTTCTGGATGATGACTTTCGTAGAAGGGAATGACTGGCCTAACCTTCAAAATCCATTAATCAAGTACCTAATAGTCTTTCTTCTTAACTGAAGTCATTTCTTTTTTAATTAACTAAATAGGTATTAGTTTTGCAAATTGAAATATCGAATCAATCAATATATATACAATAATGTAGACGGTGCTGGAGACGCTGCGGGGAGGTGAGGCGAAGGCGGTACACGACAGCCTGGACGGTGCCACCGAGGAGACGGCGTGGGAGACGGTCACCGGGCGGCTGATAATGGAGTTCGACAGCCCAGCGGACAGGTAGGAGGCGCCGCAGAGGTTCTGGTTGGCGCGGCTGTCGGCCGACGGTGACCTGTTGGTGCTTGCTGTGGAGCTCACCGGATTGCGCCGTGAGGAGTGGGCGGGGCACAGTCTTTGGCGTCGCAATTTATCGAGTGTGTGCCTGCCGCAAGTAAAACAACAGAAAAGTATATATATTAAAATTTACTTACGCTGTTCCACTTTTTAAACCAAATGGTTTTTTATCTTCTTTCGCTTCATTATACTGGGCATAACATTCTTTAATATCATCAGTAAAATAAATTGGAATGGCGCATGAATTTGATGACATACGTAGCTGTCTTAAACGTGGTATACCAATTAAACGATTTTGATATAACAATGTTAAATTGCTTGCTGTAACAAATGGTTGTAAATTATACCATGTACTACTATACCAATTATTCATGATTGGACCTTGAATGACCTAGAGAAACGATATGCATATGCATATATATATATATACTTTTAAAGAAAGCCATTATGTATACAATCAGTGACTGGTAGTAATAATGATTTTCAATACAAATGTCAAGACAGTTCTACTCTATGTGGAGCGGAGGAAACATGGAGAACTAACTACCAAAGTCATCATCATTCAGAAGATACAAGTGTGTTTATTAACAGTTGTCTACGTAAAAAATACTTCGTATTCGTTGGCCAGACATTATCAGCAACAATGTACTGTGGGAGAGAACAAACCAGATTCCAGTGGATGAGGAAATCAGGAAGAAGCGCTGGAGTTGGAGCGGAAAGCACCTAACTGCGTCACTAGACAAGTCCTCACATGGAACCCTCAATGCAAAAGGAAAAGAGGAAGGTCAAGGAACACATTACACGCCGAGAAATAGAGAAAGATATGAGAAGAATGAACAAACATTGGACAGAACTGGAGAAGGGAGCCCAGGACAGAGTTGGTTGGAGAAAACTGGTGGGCGGCCTATGCTCCATTTGGGGTAACAGGCGTAAGTAAGTAAGTAAGTAAGATGAATAATTGATCGTTGAAGTTGCTTCAACACATCAGTGACCTAATAACTCAATATTAACAATCCATAATTCAGTGTATCTCACTGGATTTATAAGCTATTTAAAAAACCTTACTCAGTAATCTGAAGTGTTTGAGCACAAAACTGTACGATTGTCATTTGCACACTTCTGAAGAGTCCCGTGCTAGGATGAAAAGGCCATTCAGCACTGTAGTGAACGAGAACACAGGTGGGGCAACCCAATTGTATTCGACGAAAATTACAGAGTTACTCAGTAAAATAGGGAAAAACCATATCGCGTAAATTGTTAATTTGCAAAATATCAGTTCATCATATCGAACTGGACTGTCTGTTCCTGTTGCAAACAACATCAACAATCCATTGTCACTATTCATGCGTTTCATACACAAATTCCATTGTGTTCACACTCTTCTGCCTTTCTTGATCTTCCCCCATCTTCTTCTGCTGTCACCAGACATTACGTTGACACTCACGTCATATACTACTTATAAGTAGCTCGCACCACATTAGTATAGCTAGTTCTTGTTTATTGCCTCAACACATCGGTGACCTAATAATTCAATATTAACAATCTATAATTCAATGTATCGCATTGGATTTGTAAGCTATTTAATAAACCTTACTCAGTAATCTGAAGTATTTGAGCACAAAACTGTAAATCCTAAGTACGATTGTCAGTTACACACTTCTGAAGAGTCCCGTACTGGTGTGGTGCGCGCTACTTATAAGTAGTATATGACGCGAGTGTAAACGTAATGTCTGGAAGCAGAAAATGGGGAAGATCAAGAAATGAAGAAGAGTGGGAACACAATGGAATTTGTATGAAATAGCATGAATAGTGGTGAAATGTCAGACAATGGATTGATGATGGATTGAAGATTTGCAAATTAACGGTGGTTACGATATGGTTTTCCTATTTTACTGAGTAACTCTGTAATTTTCGATAAATACAATTCGGTTGCCCTCACCTGTGTTCTCCTTCACTACACTAGGATGAAAAGGCCATTCAGCACTTCCAAGTTTCCTATGGTTGTCTAACTTAGATTGGTGTGTGATTTGAATATGATCTTAAAGTCTTAGAGCCAGTCCTTTCTTATCACTTTCTGCTGATTTCTTTTTATTATCGGCATGATTCATACTACATACATGAAACTATCAATATAATTATGATGCTTTAGTCCAACTGTAGTGAACGAGGACACAGGTGGAGCAACCAAAATGTATTTAACGGAAATTACAGAGTTACTCAGTAAAATCGGAAAATCATATCGTAAATCGTTCATTTGCAAAATATCAGTTCATCATATCGAACTGGAGGACTGTTCCTGTTGCAAACAACATCAACAATCCATTGTCACTATTCATGCGTTTCATACACAAATTCCATCGTGTTCTAACTCTTCCTCCTTTCTTGATGTTCCCCCATGTTCTGCTGTCACCAGACATTATGTTGACACTCACGTCATATACTACTTATAAGTAGCTCACACCACAGCACTTCCAAGTTTCCTATGGTTGTCTAAATTAGATTGGTATGTGATCTGAATATATCATTATGGTCTTAAAGTCTTAACACAGTCCTTTCTTATCACTTTCTGCTGATTTCTTTTTATTATTGGCATGATTCATACTACATACATGAAACTATCAATATATTTATGTTGTTTTAGTCTTACTGTGGTGTGTGCTACTTATACGAACGATATAAGTAGCATAAGAAGGGACTTGAAAGAAGAAGTCTCACGGTCACAAGAGGAAAACGGAAAGCAAATATAGCAAAAGCAAGGAGTAAATGGACTACTGACAGGAAGTAAAGGAAGCAATAGCAGGAATGGAAGAAGGCTGGAGCGTTAGAAGTCAGAACTTAAAGATGGTGTGCAAATAGAGTGTTCAATGTAATGTTTTCGTTTTTAATTGACTCAGAGTGTAAATTTGCTAAACACAATCTATCGCTCCTGTCTTCTCATTAAATCTGGTTTCATACTACTGATAAAATGGTTAGTAGTTAGACCTTTTTCACTTACCGACCATAAAACATCAAGTGAACTAGCTGTATTCAATGAATCTGTTCCATTGGTTACTTGAGCTTGAAGAAACATTGTATTCATACTACTTGTTAGTAGAAAAGTATTTGCATTGAATGGACCATAAGCAACTGAAATTTAAACAAAAATTTCCAAGATTTCACTGTTATTATTATTGAGATAAACTATAATTTTTCATTTTGTAATAATGCTTATAAACTTCAACTAGTGTCCTCAACCTCCACATCGGTATCACCTTGACAGTTTGTAACTTTCCCGATTCCAGGGTCACATCATCTTTGATGCGCCCAAATATGTTCAAGCGTTCGGTCCACACTAGCACTTCCTTGTATATTTTGTGCTACTCTTTCAACAATATTTTAAACTAGCCTTCGTGGAACATCTTTAGTAGCAATCTAATACTAAGTAACATCTGCACCACGACCGTCGTACACACCGCGTATTCCTGTGAGTTTGGAGATCGGCTACATAGTAACTCAACCATTGGACTCGTCTTTAAATCTTTTTGCATTGGTCGCAGTTGGCATCCTCCCGTGTAACTGATATGGCTTGAAGTCAGTTCCGTACTCGGTTATATCCTTTTCATACTCAGTCACCAGGGTTTGAATTAATTACATCTGTCTCTGTTTAGCACTGATATCCAAACTGGAGCTATAGTATCCCAAAGCGTTTGGAGATCAAATGCCGTAGAACTGGAAAGATATCCTTTGGTGGATGGTGCTCGGTGTGGAGGGGGGAGTAGACCATAAGTGATACCGACAGACACTCCGAGTTGTCAACCAGATACAATCGTACTTCTGATTATAAACGGGTCACTAAAGCGTGGTCTAGAGTCAGATACCAGCCCAATAATCATTTAATTATCATATAACTGTGATCCAGAGATTTGTTGATAATTATTTAAAAACAGAATTTAACAACGAAAACAACTATACCGGACAATTGTTACATTTTATTATGAATTAACTGAATTAGTAAGTTCAGATTATAAGATTTGCATTTACTGAACGTCAATGAACCTAATCACTTCGAGATATGAAGATCATGCGCTCGATCTCGGCCAAAGTTGCCTCTGTCCACAATTAAGAAATTCAATGCTAAGATGCGACAGTTATTCAATGCTCTTTGGTTCTTGCTAAATTTTTAACAGGTTTTCTTTGGTGACTACCGTCCTTAACAAATTATTAAATATCTTGCTTACTATTGAAGTATCTATAGAGTTTATATGATTGTAGTGCCTCCACATATATTTCACTTCTCTCACATCTAACTTGGTTAAGCCCTTTCGATTAATTTATTTAACCAAGCCATTTGTAAAACAATAACTTATATGTACCATTGGTATTTTTTATTATCTGGTTTGTATGAGCTAGTATGACTGAGCATTGCTTAACGCCTACGCATATATGCATCCTATTCGCTTTAATATTAATCTCTTCAATACCACGATGACTCAGACATTTTCCTTTGTATATATACGAACATTTTTTATCTTATTAATTCATTCGCACATTCGCATATTCGCTCGCTAGTCTGTCTGCCCGGTCTGTCTGTGGTCTGCGGTTATTAATTGTGGTGTGCTACAATAAACGTATACGATACTTGGAATTCATCTTCTGATTTATTAACCGTCAGACGTCATTTGGATAAGGTAGTCTGAACGAGCTTTTTACGAAACGTAAGAACACGCATTAAGACGGCACACTACATGATAAGTATTTTTACTAGAAACATCCTACACAATGAGAAAGTCATTGCATAACTGAACTCAATATTTCAATGGATAACAATTTGGTGGTTGACGTGAAACCTACTTGGTTAAAGTTCCAGTGTAAACATCCAGATAGATGTTGATATATTTTATTGATGAGTATCAAAGAGGACAAAACACAACTTAAATCTCATTTCTCATTAGAATACATCGATCCTCAACACTTGTTTAGTATGATTTACGATAGAAATTGAAACTATACATGAAACCTAGGATTATGATACGATTAATTTAGTGTATACGCGTTTGAGAGTTCCTTAATTGTTGATGAGTAAAAACCAGTGAGTGTTGTGTTATGAACTTAATGGCCCATTCATGAATATCGAATGATAAAAACCATTAATCAAAATATCGATTTCCATGACCTTGTCCCCCAACTAACCAATCACTTGCCAACGAACACTGGAAACCTTGAAGTCACCACTGAATTCTTATTGGTCTACTATTTCTGCAGATTCTTTTCTGCCTTTACCGGTCACATTTCGATTTGTAAACCCTTGACAAAACAAAATCCTTAACACGTTTCGCCGGAAGATCCAATAATGAACAGGACTACATCATTGGAGTTGGTTGTAGATGATATCAGTCAAAAACTTTACGTGACAGCTACCAAAGTCTAATTGACTAAAACATCAGAATTTAAACTAACCTATTCTCTATAATTTTTAAATAACAATCAATTATAATCATTGATAAAAATAATTAATGTTGAATAAAACTAATTTATGAACTTACCAATCATTAATGTAACAAGGAAAAATATATAAATCACTAATTCTCTCAATGTTGTATGTATATATAATTCTCTATTATCAAGTGTATCTTCAGTTAATCTTGTTCCCCATGCACCTAGTGGGATATAAAAAAAAACGTAAAATCTTTATTTAGAACATGAATGTATATGTGGATCGTTCTTTATCTTGGGACTATCGAGTAAGCAATGATGTTGTTAGGAAACCGAGTACTTGGTAAGGATGGAAGATTAATAGATGAAGTATTGAAACTTCATCAGTTGAGGTGGTTGGGACATGTGTTACGTATGCCTAACCACCGACTGCTTCGTTGAGCAGTGTTTTGTGATGTAAGAGTAGTATGGAAGAAAGTTAGAGGCGGTCAAACCAAAACATGGAAGAAATCCATGAAGACATTGACAACTGGATTGAGTTATGTTAATAAGTGTCGACAACCTGGTTGGGGTCCGTGAGATGATAGTAATCAATGATAAGGGAGACACTGGATGATATGGCTCAAAATCATTTGCAATGGTACATGTTCATCCATTCTACGTTTTCTCTCGAATCCTAATCTTCTGAATTCCTCATGGCCACTTTTTTACTCTTTTTCAATCGATTCCTCTGGCATATACATCTCGGATGATATATTCGATCATTAATCTTTTCGATTATTGCTAATACGTCTACTACCTCTACTAATATGGAATTTGAACTAACAATTGCGCCTCTGTGCTAATGTGGTATGGCGACTTGAACTGACGTACGTACGTACGTACGTAAGACGTTCTACCTTGTAAATGACTGACTGACAGATCAAATCAAAGCCTATTATGAAATCTTTATTATTTTCAAATTCTGTAATCTCTGAAATTCTTTTGTTGAAAGTGGATCATCAGAGAAACTCTTCTAATTAGGGAGCTGGTCAGTCAGTCAGTCAGTCAGTCAGTTGCAACGTAGAACTACGTACGTATGTACATAAGTTCATGTTGCCATACCACATTATCAAAAAGACACAGATGTCAGATCAAATCCCATAGTGATAAAGGTAGAAGAGGTATTAATGGTAATGAAGAAGACTAGGCTTTGAAGATATTATTCAAGAAGTATAATTTTAGTGAGATAAGGTTAGAAAGACAAACGTAGATGTGTTGACGAATCCAGAAGATTAGGATTTGAGAGAGCACAAAGAATGGATGCACTTGCGCCATTGCAAACGATTTTGAGCCATGTCATTCAAGGTCTCTAACCATTGGTGACTTTCGTCTTGCGGACCCCAACCACGTAGCCTACATCTAACAACATGACTCAGTCCACTTGTCAGTGACTTCATGGATTTGTACCCTGCTTTGGTCTGGCCGCCCCTACCTCTCTTCCAACCTACTCCTACACCACAAAACATAGCTCGTCGCGGCAGTCGGTGGTTAGCCAGACGTAACACATGTCCTAACCACCTCAACTGATGAAGTTTCACCACTTCATCTATTGGTCTGCCGTCCCTACCTAATACTCGTTACCTAACGACAGAATTGCTTATACGGTTGTCCCACTATACACGAGCAATGCTTTGGAGACGTCAATGATTGAAGACTAGTAACCTACGAACATCTTCTACTCTTAACGGCCATGTTTCACAGACACATAGGAGAACGGAGCGAACTGCTGAGCAGTACACCCGTCCTTTGGTTATCGAACGGATATCACGCCTACGCCATAAGTGACGCAGGTTGGCAAAAGCCAATCGAGCTTTCTGTATCCGAGCTGAGATTTCGTCAGTCAACAGGCTATCAGCGCTGATGAGACTCCCAAGATAAGTGATGCGATCAACACACTCAACTACTTCACTCCCTATCACTAGTTCATTTGCTGATGCAACCCAGTCTTGAAGCAACATTTTGCATTTCGAGGGTGAGAACCGCATCCCGAACATGCTCGCATTGTTGCTTATGGTAGTCAGAAGACTCTGCATTTTGTCAGCATCTTCACTGAATAGAACTATGTCATCGGCATATTCTAGATCAGTAAGCAACTTTCCTGGTAGAACGTCAACCCCTGAGAAATATGACGAGCTTAATGTTAACTCTGAGAGGATGTCTACGACAAAGTTAAACAAGAATGGAGAGAGTGGACAGACCTGATGCACACCGCTTGATGTAGCGAATTCAGATGACAGTTCGCCATATGCTCTCACCCGACCAGTGGTGTTCGAGTAGAGAGCTTGTATAAGGTTAATGTACTTCTTTGGTACACCTTTCAATGACAGACACTGCCACAGAACCTCACGATCAACAGAGTTAAATGCCGCCTTAAGGTCTAGGAAAACAACTATTGTAGGACGCCTAAATGTGTGTCTATGTTCCAGGACCTGTCTGAGTGTGAAGATGTGGTCTATACAACCACGTCCAGGTTGAAAACCAGACTGGTTTACTCTAGTCTGCTCTTCACGAGCTTTCGTTAGGCGTCGACGTATTAATGAGGCCAATATTTGAGAAATTATATTGGTTAGACTGATTCCCCTGTGATTGTCACAAGAAGACCTTTGTCCGTTCTTATGGATTGGGACAATCAGTGATTGAGACCAGTCGGATGGGATTATGTCCGGTTCCCAGATTCTACCTAAGATCTCAGTCAACCTAGCAGATAAAACTGGACCACCATCCTTAAATATCTCAGGGATCAGTCTATCAGGACCTGCAGCTCGTCCTCGCTTCAAATTTCCTAACGCATTTTCAAATTCATCAAGACTAGGGGGGCTTACGTCGATTTGCCATTCAGGATGACTGGAGATCGTGGGTAACCAAAGAGTGGCTCGTGGCTAGTTGAACTGATCCCTAAAGTGTTCTGATCATCGATCCAGTCTCCTGAATTGAGAATAAATAATAGTCCCATCATTTTCCGAGATAGTCTCACTTACACTAGGATTCCTAATACCAGTTTCCTTGATAAGTCGGAAAAGTTGTCTAGTGTTGCCGATCGCCGCTGCCTTTTCCATCGCTTTTGCTTTCTCCGCCCACCACTGTTCATAGTCGTTGCACAGGCTTTTTATCAGTCTGCGCCTAAGCTGACTCCGCTCCTCAGAGCCAGGTGGGATGAGTTTTCGAGCATCCATCAGTTCGGTAGATGATATTGAGATCCACGGCTTCATCCTAACCTTATGGTTTACCTTGCTAGCAGATATCACTGCTGTTTCCACAGCCTTTTTGATACCATACCAACCTGCTTCTGGATGGAAATCGCTTACATGATTGCTTAACTCTGTTCTAGTTGCTCTTGAAATATTTTCTTAGCTTGATTATCATCAAGTAAAACCCTAAGAGGCTTCCTTACGGTGTATTTCCTACGTCCAGTAAGCCTCAAACAGATACGCGCTCGCACTAGGGCTCCCGGATACCCAAAGGGTAAATCGAGTTGCTTCTTTAGCTTGACATGGTGAGGTCAAGTGAATGATGCTACTCGGATCCTGTATGCGCGTTTCCGAGACGCAGCACACATCGATGGCACGAGATTCTAAAGTCCGAGCTAATGATGCCTGTGCCCTATTTGACACAATGTCCGTACATTAAATGCTCCAACATGTAGTTTAGAACGGGGTTTAAGGAGACCAGGAACGACGTTTCGTGAACTTTCATCGTTTGCATTAGTTGTGCACTGTGATGAATGAATGTGAGAAGAGGTAGTCGTGGAGATAAGAGAGGAATGTGAAGGTGTAGGAAGGGTTTGATTTTGACCATTTTGGTCTTGTGTGATGTTACGGGTATGAGGGCGTTTGTCACTTCCCGGCTGCCCACACCGTGGAAAGTTGTTTCTTGAGGGACCTGAAAAAGAAGATAGATTAGTGTTGGTCTTGGAGACCTGGGTGCGTGACCGCAAAGCCCATGGGACAACGGCTTGAGGCCGGTCACGCACGGCCTTATTATGAAAGGTTTTTTGGGTATTAGCTCCGCTCTCAAAAGCCCTTAGTGGCCAGCCCATACCACCAGAAACGGAAAACCGTGAGGTAAGGTGAGGTGTGACATTTTTAGTGTACACCTTTTCTAACCCTTCCTTCCTTGTGAGAAGTCAGCATCGCTGCCGATGCTGGTTGTCCGAGGAAACACCTTCCTGCCGTCGCACCCCTCCGCAGTCAGCAGTACGACTTCGCCCTCAGAGCTTGCTTGGGTAGCTGCTTTTAGTCTCATCGTTCTCCAATCGACCTGCCTGGCATGGTAGAACCTTCAGGAACATAAGTTCCAGCCAATATAGCTTGGTTGGATCATCACGATAGGCAAGCTCGACCACCACGTCAAGGAAGCAGCTTCGGTCGGGAATTAGGGACCTAGTGATGGTAGCGTCTGAGACTGTGAATTTATGTAAGCAGGGTACTAAAATAATCCATCAATCAATGAAAGTCAAGGATTTTCTGAGTGGGAAATATAAGCTGAAGGTCAATTCAATGTCTGTTGGAGCGAAAACATGGAAATTAAAAATTCCAAAATAAAATTATAAAATTATAACCTTTTCCAAGTGAGCTGTGGGGATCGCACACTCTGACTCAATTAAAAACGAAAACATTACATTGAACACTCTATTTGCACACCATCTTTGAGTCGTGACTTCCAACGCTCCATCCTTCTTCCATTCCTGTTGTTGCTTCCTTTCCGTTCCTGTTGGTACTCCATTTACTTCTTGCTTTTGCTCCATTTGCTTTCCGTTTTCCTCTTGTGACTGTGAGACTTATTCTTTCACGTCCCTTCTTATACTACTACTTATATCGTTCGTATAAGTAGCACACACCACATTATAGTGTCAATTCTCGAACCACGAACCTACTACACTGGAAATCGAACCCAGAACTTTATGTTCCTTACATGATTTCACATAACATCGCAAAGACGGGATGCGTCATCAATTTATATAAACATATCATAATTACACAAGCTAATTTTTTATAACACTAATTTACGTAGAGGTGACCACGTTATTTTGATCGTCTGGATCAATATTTTAGTGACCCAAAATATCAGGCAGCATCATCGACAACCAAGGTGGATCCGACGCAGATGTGAGGGCATGGATTGGCAAAGCAAGGGCTGAATTTCTACAGTTGAAAAAAATATCTGGAACTCCAAACAACTTTCAACCTAAAAACCAAAATCAGGATTTTCAATACAAATGTCAAGACAGTTCTACTGTATGGAGCGGAAACATGGAGAACTACGAAAGGCATCATCCAGAAGATACAAGTGTTTATGAACAGTTGCCTTCGTAAAATACTTCGCATTTGTTGGCCAGACACGATCAGCAACAACGAAATGTTGGAGAGAACAAACCAGATTCCAGTGGAGGAGGAAATCAGGAAGAAGCGGTGGAGTTGGTGGATAGGACACACATTGCGGAAAGCACCTAACTACGTCACGAGACAAGGCCTCACATGGAACCCTCAAGGTCAAAGGAAAAGAGGAATGCCAAGGAACACATTACGCCGAGAAACAGAGAAAGATATGAGAGGAATGAACAAACGTTGGACAGAACTGGAAAGGGGAGCCCAGAACAGACAGAGTTGGTTGGAGAAAACTGCTGGTGGGCGGCCTATGCTCCTCTATTGGGGGTAACAGGCGTAAGTAAGTAAGCAAGTAAGTAAGTAAAATATCAGTCCATGTTTACTAACAGTCAAATATGCTATGAAATTAATCTTTTCTTAAAGTTTCCTTTTATCATACATACTTAATAGAAGTCTGTTTGTACAACGGCAGTAATTATAAGCCAAAAACAGATTCGGTTTTGGAAGAAATAGTGTACAGAAACATGATAATCTTACATAATTCTCTTGTATAGCTTTAATGAACGAATGAATGAGTGAGTGAAAATGAAAATTATCATGTGTACTCTATGTTGTGTGTCAGGCAGTTGTTACCCACTGCACACAATGAATGATAGTGTTGTAATGTCATGAATTGACTGCATTTTTAATTTAACATCATTGAATACGGACTCAGTGGTGAACAGATCGAAGTTGTTATGTCAAATCGTGCTTACGGAGTTGTGATTACGTTTTAGTCACTAAAGGGGTCATATACCAGGACGAGATGGTCATCCAGGTCTTTCAAGTTTCCAATGATGATCTAAAACTGGTCGGTCCATGATTACATTGGAAGTCAATAATCTTCACAACCCTGTGTTAAAAAATTTCTTCCTTTTTTTCATGATTCAGTGAGATTTACTGTTATCTAAGGATTTCACTAATCTAATTAGTGTTCAGTTATTAACCTGGATGTTACTTATTTATTAATTGAAATAGTGAAATAGTGTTTAACCACCATTTGAAACCTGGAAGCAGTAGACAGCCGCTTCGTTCTAGTATATAACTCTTCAGTAGTGCGAATCCACGACCCCTCTGGGAGGATCCAAATGCAGGACTTTTGGGATCACACACGAATTCTTAAAATTTAGACCACTGAGCCGGAATCCAACGGTGTTAATATCTAATTTTAATCAATCCAAGGTATCGCGTAACCTCACCCATTCTCTTCAGTAGCTACTGATTACACCTGACAGAATCGAACTCCACTCGTCACGGCTTCTCTCGTGAAGCTCTCCATTAAGGAGCATATCGTTTCTTATTTCTTCATCTATCTATCTATCTATCTATCTATCTATCTATCTATCTATCCACAAATCTATCTATCTATCTATCTATCTATCTATCTATCCACAAATCTATCTATCTATCCTGGGAAGACCGAGTAAGCAATGCTGTTTTTAGGAAACGAGTTCTAGGTAAGGATGGCAAATCAATAGATGAAGCATTGAAACTTCATCAGTTGAGGTGGCTGGGACATGTGTTACGTATGCCTAACCACCGACTGCCTCAACGAGCTATGTTTTGTGGTGTAGGAGTACGTTAGAAGAAAGCTAGGGGCGGCCAGACCAAAACATGTCAGAAATCCATGAAGTCACTGACATGTGAACTGAGTCATGTTGGTAGATGTAGGCTACCTGGTTGGGGTCCGCAGGAAGATACTAACCGATGGTTAGAGACCTTGAACGACATGGCTCAAAATCGTTTGCAATGGCGCAGGTGCATCCACTCTTTGTGTGCATTTTAATTCTAATCTTCTGAATTCCTCATAATCTCTGTCTTTCTCCTTCCAAATTTATCTCACTGAATTATACTTTTCGAATTATATCTTCTGTCCCTAATCTTCTCCATTACTGCTATCACTCTTGAATTTGAACTGACATTTGAGTCTCTGTGCTAATGTGGGGTATGGCAACCTGAACTGATGTACTTACTTACGAAGTTCTGCGTTGTATCTGTCTGTCTCTCTATCTGTCTGTCCATCTATCTATCTATCTATCTATCTATCTATCTATCTATCTATCTATCTATCTATCTATCTATCAGAGAATACAAATAATCATATAATATAAAACAAATCAACTTACTTCGAATACAATGAGTAAAACGATTCCAACAACTATATTGATCTGAATCAGCATTATGTAAATATCGGTTTGATTTTGATTGTTGTGAATTATCCAATCGAATTTCATTTTGATAATCTTTTTCATCAAAATTATATTGTGAATTCATAAAGGCTGCTGTATTATCATAAGCCATTTGATTAAATTCATCATTGGATAACATGAATTGTTGTTGTTTATCTAATTTTCTAGATGTCATTACTGAAGTTTTTTTTTACAAAAAAAATAAAAAATAATCATCAGTAAAGAATAAACAATGCGATTACTTACTTATTTGTACATTATTAAATTATTAAGTAAACGATATAAATGATCGCCTTGGTTATGTTCAGTGTTCAAGGTTCAACGTTCAATGTTCAATTTATTTAATTATTTATTAGGCTTTATTGGGTTTTGTAAATCTTATATGAATTGTTTTTTATATATATAGTCATTTTGTGGTGCGCGCTACTTATAAGTAGTATATGACGTGAGTGTCAACGTAATGTCTGGTGGCAGCAAAAGATGTGGGAGAAGATCAAGAGAAAGGAAGAAGAGTGGGAACACAATGGAATTTGTATGAAATGCATGAATAGTGAGTGAAATGTCAGACAATGGATTGATGATTGGTTGAAGATTTGCAAATTCACCGTTTACGATATGGTTTTCCTATTTTACTGAGTAACTCTGTAATTTGCGATTAAATACATAATTCGGTTGCCCTCACCTGTGTTCTCCTTCACTACAATCTCATCAAACGTTTGTCTGATAAAGTAGACGGTATTCTGTTTTTAATTACAACTGAAATACAAGAGTTTCATTTGGACTCGTCTAGGGAAATGTCAATTGAATATACTATCTGTTTATGCGTTGATGTATACATTGGAGACTGGATAAGGTGTTAGCTTCTTGTTTAACAGTTATGATATTTATATCAGTTTAATAAACAATTATATAAATTTACCACGTATTGTCAATGGGGCAATTTTACATTGGTTTTCAGGAGAACCAGTTCGGCTTAATCCTGTGGTGCAACCACTAAACAGGTACCTGATACGCTGGTGGACCATTCACATCATTTCATATACACACAATGGTATAGATATTTATATTTCCGATCAATGATCGCGTCAATCAATATGCACTGCATGAACAGGCCATTTCGACCAATCCCGCTTACATGACTGTCAAACACATTATTATTAGCAATGGTGATATGTAATACAGCACCCCGAATGTCGCAAAACAACCACCTATATCAATGAAATCAGTCACCCTGCTAACCAATTTTGTATATGGACTATTAACAATGTTTACCAAAGCGAAGTCAAGTCATCCACAATATTCACAGTGAACCTTTAGTCTCATAGGAGACCTTCAGCTCTATATAGCAGCAGTATAGCATATGGTGTATACATATATGGCGTAGGGTAGCATAGAAGAGGCAGCCCCACTTGATGCAAATAGGCCTAAACACTTCTATTACCCTTTGTCTCACTCGTGTCGGGCAATGATTTTTTCGCGTTTCCGAAATTTTCATTTTTCGACCGTATGAGACCTGAGTTAGGGGTAGTATCCCTATTTATATCAGTAGTATAGTCAATGTTTTCAATTTTTAACTGGTTACTGATATACAGAATTGAATATTGTGTTAGTCAGTGTTGAACAATCAAAGTTTGTGATTATTTAAATTCAATCTCACTGTGAATGCAGGTGAATTCAACTGACTAATCTTGAACAAGACTTTTAATGACAATTCATATCTATTCATATGTTTGTTTGAATTTAAAATTGTGAATAAATATTTGACAATTGAACAGTTTCATTTAAACAAAACCAAATGTAGTCCGTCATATTTATTTAACATTCTTATTATTTGATAATTTCAGATTTTCATTTCAAGAAAAATATTTAACCATCGTGAGATGAAGAGGTACTTCAGTAAAAAGAGTTTATTAACTACAATCCAGTTAGATTTGTCTCGAAATACAAGATTATAATTAATTAGTAGTATAGTGTAAATTTTTGAACATAAATTAATACAAATCAAGGTTGAAATGAAATTTGCCTATTTCAGTGTAGTTAATTCGAAAAAAACAAATCTTCATATTCCATAGTTTTAATAATGATCATTGAACTGATATCATGTAGAATTCAAAAAAGGTTCAATATTCTGTAATTTCTTGTTTGATTGAAGTAATTTAATGAAAATTAACAAGTCAAAAAATTGATAACTATTCCGAAATCGAGATTTTTTGTTGATTGAGTTAACTAAAATAATTTTAGTATATGTTGTTAAAAAGTAAAGATACTACTTGTAGATATATATATGAGCAGTATTCATAGAATTAAAATAAAAGTAACTACCGAAGACTAATAATGGGAGAGGTTGCGCAAAATCCCTAGATCAATCAGAGTTAGACATTAATACCGTCGGGTGCCGGCCCAGTGGTCCAATGGTTAGGCGTTCGCGCACACTACCGAAAGTCCCAGGTTCGAATCCTGCGAGGCACAGGAGTCATGGGAGCCCACTGCTTATGAGTCCATTACCAGGACGAAACGGCCATCCAGTGATTTCACGTTTCTAATGGTGGTCTAACAATGATTGATTGATGATTTGAAATGTGTAGAAACACTAATCTCCATAACTCGAACTGAGAAAGTGTTTCAGTGGAATTTATACTGATAGATTACATCATGCACCGACTTAAGTTAGGCAACTATTAAAAGTCAGAAGTCATTAGGCAGATTTTTTTATATATTTTAGTATGGGATTCCTCAACAGTGCTCATTTATGTACACCCCTCCCGCAACGGGGAATGGAATGCAGAAGCTTTGGCTTCGTGCATGAGGTCTAAACCGTAAGTTTTCTGATATAACCGTGTCTGTATATCAGTAAAGAGTTCCATATTGGAGTAAGACAACTTTTCAGGGATCTCTGATTTTTGCTACTTGTTTGACTAAGATCAATGCATAATCTTATCAATAAAATTCTCTACAAACCTCCATATTGATTTGTAAATTTTCTACCAGTTGTGTAATTATATATGAGTCTCTCAAGGTAATTATCAAGTACAAAAAAGTTTATTGGTACTTTTTTAAGTTTCAACAAAATTAAATATTCAAAAAATAGTAACGTCGAAGTTTAAATAAGCTGTAGTGCAGTAATTATTATGAAAAGTAGAGACGGCATGTAGTTAGTAGTGGTATCTATGACGTCCGTTTCAGATAAGTTTTGGAGTCATAAATTAGATTCAAGTTCCGGAGTGAACATGAACACATTAGGATGGAAGTATATTCAACTTAAAATCGAGTCCTAAATAAGACAAAATGCACTGCCTAGATTCACTTGCTAACCATCATCCATAATTGTTTATATACAGCTTATGACTTGTTAAACCACCACATTAGGAACCTGGCAGCATTGGACGGCCATTTCGTCCTGGTATGGAACTAAAAATATCGTAATATGTGCTCATTAGTGACTAACATCGTGAGAAGACGTGACCAGTGGAGTTCGATCCTGTTGGATATGGGCAATAACTACCAAAGGCAAATGGATGAGGTCGCGCAAAATCTCTAGATCAATCAAAGTTAGATATTACCACAGTTGGATGCCGACCCAGTGGTCCAGAAGTTATGAGTTCGCGCAAAAGACCGAAGGTCCTGGGTTCGAATCCTGCGAGGTGCGGGAGTCGTGAAGACGAAACGGCCGTTTTTCAGTGCTTTCAGGTTTCGAATGGTAGTCTAACCATGATTGATTGATGATTTCGAATAGTACTTCATTTTCACTTAGAAACGCATATATATCAGTTATTTGATTGAAGAATATACAAATCTTCCTCATCAATCCAATAGTCATAGTATAATGAATGAAGACGGTCACACCAGATGGAACAATCGAATTATTTGAAGTAGACACAGTTTATTAGCCAAGATATGTATTCTTTATGTTCAAACTTTCGTTTGGTTGTCTTCAAGTCTTCAAAACACTCTGTTCACATTATACATCCAGATACGATACTGTTCACTTTGTCAGTAAATTCAGTGCGTTACTGCTGTACTGCATATTCACTAAATACTACTTAGATGCTCCATGATGATTAGTACACACCCTTATAAAGAGATACTAAAGTAAATAAAGATTGAAATCTTCAATTTGGTAGTTAAAGTCTGAATTTTTTCTGATTAAGCGATTCGATAGTACAAATTTAAATTACTACATTCTTTAAATCAAATTCATTCATTTTCGGAGAGAGTATATGTGAAGGTCAACAAGATTAATACCATTAGATTTTGGCTCAATGGTCTAACGATTATGCATTTGTGCGCAAGACTGATGGTGCTGGGTTTGATTCCCACTTACGAAGATGTGAAAGCAGATTACCAGTGCGTCTCCTACTAGGACCTAACGGTCGTTTCTAATAGTAGCCTAACTTTAATCGATTCATACTCAATAATCTCCACCAATCTATAAAGAATATTGAGTCAATGTAAATCAATATATATAAACATCATTTTGAAATATCGAAAAAATACGATGAGTAATTGAACATTGATCAACTCAAACAACAAAAATTCATCAATAAATACATTGAAATAATGGAATGAGTTCGATTTGTAAGCGAGAGAGAGAGAGAGTAATACTGCTCATAAAAGTACACAACTAACAAGATGACTCAACCTTTCCATTGACAATGAAGCCAATCAATCATTCAACCTTGAATGATTGTCTTTAAAACAACTAACATAAAAAAATTCAAATAAACACTTGATCATTGTAATTTCTTTTCAGTTTGATTGATGATTTCAAATGTGTAAAAAAAACACAAATCTCCAAAACTCTAACTGAAAATATCGTAACATGTGCTCACTATAGTGACTAGCTTCGTGAGGAAATTCTCGAAGTTATCGTAAGAAGACGTGACCAATGGAGGAGTTCAACACTCTAGTGTGTAGGCAGTAATTACCAAAGACAAATAATGGGTGAGGTCACGTAAAAGTCCCTAGATCAATCAGAGTTAGACATTAAGACCGTTGCATGCCGGCCGGCCCAGTGTTCAGATGGTTAAGCGTTCGCTTACAATACCGAAGGTCTCGGGTTCGGATCTTGCGAGGAACAGGAGTCGTGGATGCGCACTGCCAATGATGAGTTTTCAGTGCTTCCAGGTTTTTAATAGTGCTCTAACAATGATTGATTGATGATTTCAAATGTGTGAT